ATATTATAGCTAATATCAAAATATTATCCCATACACTTCAAATCTGTAAGCTCTGAAAATTTCTTATACAGCTTCTAAATAATGACGAAAAAGAGTAAGATGAAGTATTCATGAAATGAGTGCAGTACAGCTCACTATATTAACTAGAGTTAGCTCCACATAATGGAAAATATCCTAGACTCAGAATACATTCTATTTCTGTAACCAACAGCTATGTGTTCATGGCCAAGCTGCTTCTCTTAGGCTTATTACTTTCTCAGAAAAAGAAGGATTTTACTGCATTATTTAACTAGGTTTTATGAGGATTTACTGAGACAACATTTTTCAGCTGCTCAGAGAAATAGTGATGCAATGGAATAATTTGTTCGTGAACTGTATGGCTGAAACTATTATAAATCTCAAGTAAAACCCAATCTGTGTTTTTTCATAGGTTCTAATACTCAAGTGTTTCATTTTTCAGAACATGTTATTAAGTCCTAATTTTGGTTATTAGTTCTGTATTTTTGTGGCTTGTAATTCAGGCCATCTTAGCTATTTTATCATTTTAAGAAAATTGTTTTATAAATACATTATGTCACTAGATAGTATTTGTACTCCATTACTGAGCCAATCAATCACACAAAGGGCAGAAACCTAATAAATATCAAGATCTAGCTTGGACTACTACTATACCCTCTCTACCTACTCAAACTCTGAACCAGCCAATCGTTGTTAGAATGATGCCTAATCTCTATGTTCATCTCCAACTGATGTGGAAGACAAAATCCTACTTTTTTAAGTTCCAACAAGGAGATTCAAGTTGACATTTTCTCATTTCTGAGATATGTACCAACTACATATTTGCACATAACATCCCATGTGTCACTCAGCTCCATTCTCATTTCATAGCTCCCCTTACACAGATAATTTTGTAGAGAACATCACAGTTTCAATATTGAGTGCTGCCCATTTTGCCTTCACTCAGACTGTTTTGATGGACCTAGTCAGCAAACAGTCAAATGACCTTCCAGGACTGTGCAAAATATGGGATGTTTCAAGAATTTGCACATCATATTTTCACATGGGCTAATCTTCTCTGCACTATTTTAATTTTAGTATATGTGCTGCCGAAGCAAACACAAAGCCCTACTTTTCTATGTGGATATTGATTAGTCATGGATGAGGCTTAGCTCTATTAAATCAAACTAACCTAGTTTAGATTCAGAGGTTTCTGGTGAATGGCTTCTTTGTGAAATAGAATTTGAAAATGTTTTTAAAACTTGAGGTAGAGAGGCAAGTAGCTTGGGGGATTTTCATTATTATGATGCATAGATCACTTTAGGGCCAAGGGCAAGTTGGTGCCCACTACTCTGGAAGGATAATATGGGACCTTTCACTACCTAAGAAAAGGTGCTACACAGGATATAAATAGACCTCAGGGTACAGATCTCGTAACAAAGAAGAAAGAAAATGCTGATATTTTCCTGCAACATTATTTGAACCTGTCTCACAGTTTAGAACAATCTCAACTAAAAATTGCTAGAGAAAAGGGCTTCAAAGGATAACTTACCATGAAGGTTTAAGCTAAGTCGAAGCTAAAATGTGGGCTCCACATAAGGTTTGAAGTGTGGGGGGAAGGGTCACTTTGATCACTATGTGTGTGGCTAAAGCTAGCTGGCCCAGCTGCCAGAACAGGCTACTAGCGCTTTGGGAACAATGACTGAGCATATAAACATATGTATGTGAACTAAAAAAAGTGTTACTTTGAAGTCTAAGTATGGATCACCATGAAGACTGAGGGATCTGAATCAGCAAAGGACATCCTAGTAGCAAAAGTCAGTTGTTATCAGACTGCAGAACCAGTTTCCATAGCAACAATGCAGCAACAGAATCAAGGGAAACAACTGAATGATTAGAATGTCCTTTTTTCCCTCCTCCTCACTTGTACAAGAGGACCACCTTCCTCGCACTTCAGAATGCCTAAAATTTTTGAAAAATTTGAGGAGAAGGGTCTAGGAGACAGCCCCCAGAGGATGATACCAGAGTTTCTGGTATTTATTTTATAAACTGGGCATTTCAAGACCCAAATAACTAGTTAGAAAAATCAAAGATGTGATACCATTTTTTATCCCACGTATAGGGGTCACACTTGGGATAAAATTGACAACACTGAGATCCTTAAGGATAAAGGTCTTAAAAGAGTCCTGAGATAAAGAATCCTGCACCCATTGCTATTTCTAACTAGTCTAACCTTTGCTTGATTTCTGGCTGATGGAGTGGACTACCTCACTGCCATTCCAAATCTACCTGAACCAAGCCATGAAATCTCACCTAATGTATAAGATGTAATAGTTATAATTATTTTAAACCTTAATTTAGTATAAACTAGCCTTTTAATGTATACACTTACGTAACAGAGCCAGAAGTAAGAGCATAATCTTCTGCAGTCCATCCAAGTGTGTTTTGAGCAAAAACATCAATATTTTGCTTGAGAAGAACACTGACCATCTTTGATGACTGACAGCATACGGCAAGCATGAGGGCTGTTCTAAAGTGACAAAGAGATAACTTCACCTTTAGGAACTTTAATAAAGTTACTTAAACAACTATCTGATATACTTTATCAATTCAGTATCTTGCCTGTCTGTGTAGAATTAACCATGTACATGTACTTACACACGTGAGCATCTTGGGTACTCAAGTATTCATTTTTGTAAATTACCACTGAGGCTAAATGGAAGGGAAAAAAAAGAAGTCTCTTGTCCCCCTGGAGCATGACATAGTACAAGTTGCTAATTTATTTTCCTCTGATGGGCAAGAAACTATACTGAGATCACTTAACTAAAATAGATCAAGATTTAAATGAATTCTCCATTTCTTCCCTAGTCTAAATAGAATATATTTTAATTCAAAGTCAGATAGGGGTCAGATAAGTAAAAGCTACCTTCAGGTTTAAAACAACAATATTAGTAATAATGGTAATAACTGCACTTAGAGTAGTTTCAGTTATTGATCCTGATGAGCATGTGGCTAGGCACTGAATTAAATTATATATGTACACACACATATGTGCATGTATATTTTATATATACATATGTGTGTGTGTACATATAATCTCACACACAGAAACCCTTGGTGGATATATTATTATCCTGAATTTCATATCAGAGAACATATTTGGTGATAAGTAATGTCAAGGTCACATACTTATCAAGTGGGAAATTCAACCCAGGCTTCTGGGAATCTAAAGCCTATTTCTTTTCTCTTTATCACCCACCTATGGCTTGTCTTCATTAAAGGAAAAGTTTATCCAATTAAAGCTGTCTTTTGTACCTCTGCCCATACCAATTAAAAATAAAAAACATCAAAATACACTAGAAATGAAAACAGAAAAAGCTGATGGATGAATCCATGATACCTGGGAATAGCAATTCATACAGTTGGTTGAGGGTAACCTAACATCAATATTCTTCAAAGATAGCAACTTAAAGCAAAGATTCATTGAGACATCCCATGGACAAAATGAATTTCAGCTCCTATTTATGTGAAATATAGCACTATTAAAGGAAAATTATAAAAGAAGCAGAGGCTACAAAAAACTATGAAAGGGTTAAGATGATCATAACTGAGTCGTGAAGTAAACTAAAAGTCAAAGTCCACATTTTATAAAACTTATAAAACTAACATGAAACCTTTTTAGCTTAATATAAGATCATATGACCAAACACATCAGATTACAAACATCAGTTAATATCGTAAGAGCAGGTGAATCCTTTGTACACTCTCCTTTACATTGCCCAGTCCAAATAACTGCTTTTCTATCTAACTGAAGATCGGTGTTGATATTTTTCAGTATACTCCAATAATTATAATGTCGTCTTCTTATTCATTTAATATTCCTGACTTGTATGGCTGTTACCACTCTAGAACAACACTCAGTTTAAGAAAAAAAAAAAAAGAACTAATTACTGTACCTTTTCGATCTATCAACTGCATGTATATCTGCATTTTCCATTATTAAAAATTTTGCCATTTTCAGTTGTTTTCTTTTTAGAGCACAGAGAAATGGTGTGTTTTTATCCTGTAACACAGCAAAAACAATTAATAACTGACAAAATTACGTATTTCTCAACTGAAGTGAAAACCTTATATAAAATCCTAAGAATGTAAATAGGCAATACACTGAGTAAATAAAAAGTATCTCCCTCTTTCTCACCCCTCTGTGCTTTCCCATATTGTTGCCACTTCCCTTGGAAACACCCCTCCCTCCTCTGCCTCACCACATTAACTCTGGTCAGTTCCAAAACTCACTTCAGACATTCACTGCTTCCAAGAATCATTGCTTCTGTCACAGCATTTACCATGGGGTGATACTGTAATGATCTTATTGTTTCTTATCCAAGGTAAGAGCTTCTTGTCAGCAGGGGCAGTATCTTTTATCTCTATATCCCCAAACCCTAAGATATAGTAGTAAACATTTGCAGTATTTTTTATGAATTAATGATCTGAATTATTACCTCTAAAGCAGTGTTTCTTAAATTATATACCAAAGACAATTTACCTTACAAGAAGTACTGTACCCCAACAAAAAGTTTCCATGATCAATGTGTGAGAAATATTACAAAACTCTGCATTATATGTTGAGTATTAAAGCAATCTCTTGAATTTACCTAATCCCTCTTTGACAATACATTTTTGTGACAAACATTAACACTTGAGCAATTAGAGTTTGAGAGATACAGGTTTGAAACCTTTCCAACAAAGGCAGAGAATTTCTCCAGGTGATACAAACTCACTTAATTCTCTTCTATCAATGGTGATAAGATCCCAGATGCCAATGTCTGCCACTTCTGTTTCAAAGGGGTCATTAGGAAATGGGCTCTGATTTGATTGCTTAGTATTAAATGGTCCATGGGATTTCTAGATTTTTATCTCAGCTGGTAGAAAGCTCAGTATAAAATTTTATTCTCAATGATAATGTTAATCCTGAGATCCTAATGCATATCTACCTTTTTGATCCATTTTTATTCTGATTTCCCTTTTGTTATTTAAAATTATTCTTTTTGTGAAATATTAATCAGAAATATAAATATACTGTTTCTTCATAAAAGTTCTAATAGTGACCCATATGAATTATTTCTAGCCTAAGTAAAGGCACTAAATCACTTGCATTTTTAAGGGATGATGCCGAATAGAAACATACAATGTCATCTGAAACATGCATAATCTATCCAATCATAGCCATGATTAACCTAAAAAAGCTTAGAGGCATTCTAATAGGAAGATGATTATTTATGGTATATATAAAGAAAAAGAGTTTTTAAAAAATCCATCTTCTAATCTAAGATTCAACCCAAATACTAAGGGATTAATATAAAATATAGGCTATATATTGTAAATAAATATAAACTGTCTGGAAGACCTTGAAACCTTTATCAATTATATATAAAACAGGGGTCAAATAATTATGGAGGCAAGCTAGGTGACCCGTTAGTAAAGGACCTACATGGGCACAGCAGCAAACTGGACAATCTATACCTCACATAAAGGGGCAACCTCTGTCCAGCATACCAAACAGTAAGATGGGCTCAAGGGACACCTGGACATTTCTGAAGAAAAGCCTGACACCAGATTTGATTCTTTAAAGAAGCCTGAAATCCAGATATCTGCATGGCTCCTCATTTAGACTACAGACCTTGTGTTTTTATATTTGCTATACATGTGTTTACAAATGGTTGTTTGCTGTTGTTATTTTTAGAGACAGGGTCTTGCTAAGTTGCCCAGGCTGGACTTGGAAACTCCTGAGCTCAAGTGTTTCTCCCACTTCAGCCTCCCAGGTGGCTTGGACTCCAAGCACAGGACCACTGTGCTTAGCTTCAATGAAATAGTTTTAAATATACATCTCCAGACTTTATTAGGTTTACTAAATCAAAATCTTCAGCGGAGAGCCTAGAATTGTAAATTATTATTTTAAATTTCCCCAGTTCACTGTGTTGCACAATTCTAGCTGAGAACTAATGCAGTAGACAAAAACTTTAGTTTCATCTCTCACCCACATGGCTAATTCCTGTTATCATTTGGGGATCTGGCCAAAAAGAGGAAAGAGTAAGAGGTGGAGTCATTTACAGAAAATTTCATTTAATGTTCCTGGGCAGGGGGAGAACAGGGACTAGTGAACTTAAAAATGCAACTTGGTTTTGCTACTTGTGGGCTCCTTATCTCCCACCTTCCCATCAAGATATTCTAGCTTTGGGAGCAGGGTTTAGACTCTTACCTAAGTGGCTGTTTCTGCCAGAATAGGATAATCAGTCAGTCAATTATTTGTTCTTCCCTTTTCTTGCCCACTTTATCACCACCTACTCACTGCCAATCTGGTTTCCTCAGAGTCCTCCTAAAATTGATGCCTAGGCAAATTTACCACTCACTAACTCTCAAACTGAGAATTATTATTTCCCAAGTTGAAGAGCTCCTGGTCTAAACATAAAAACTAGGAAAAAACATGAAAAAAACGCTATTCTTGGTATTGTCCCTCAATTACATAATTTTCAAATTGGCCTACATATTTCTGATCACTTTCCTTTTCCCTTTCCATTTTTCCCTCCTTAGCCTTGGCACTGAGACGTAAATCGTGTTCGTAGAAATTACTTTTTCTTAATTTGTTCATTATTATTTTTTTATTTCAGAATATTATGGGGGTACAAACCCTCCAGTTACTACATATATTGCCTTTGCACCACTGGACTCAGAGCTACCAGCTTGCCCATCCCCCTAAAAATGTGCACCACACCCCATTAGGGAACTTGTCAACAACAACAAGATTTCCAATTCCTATAAAATGAATTTCTTTTGTTGGAGCTTTGTAATAGAGCCTATTTCCAGGGTAAATATGCTTTGTTATGTTGTTCTATACTAATTAGGGAAGAAAAACTTGGGTGGTAAAGAATTTGAAAATGAAAATTTACCTTTAGTGATATCATAAATATTAATATCTACCATAAATGCATAAAAGAAGATATAACCTCTAATGCATCTTTATAAGTATCAATATTAAAAGTAAAACCTTAGATAAGTTATTTAAAATAGTTTAATTCAAGGAATGCTTGAACTTCCAAATATGGAAATTGATCTTTACATATGTTGATGTTAAAACAAATGCATTTCTAATATTTTAAAAATAAAGTTGGTTGATCTATACCTCGTTTTTTACTTCAATATTAGCCCCATGTGAAAGAAGTTTTGCTGCTATTATTAAGTCACCGTTACAGGCAGCGTAGTGGAGAGGAGTGTTACCATGGGCATCCTTAAGTGTTATTTCAGCGTCATGTTCCAGGAGAAGAGTTACACATTTCTCTCTCTGGCGTTTGATGGCCTGCCAATGTTAGACCAAAAAATAAATTGTAAATTCTAGGAATTCAGTATAAACATTTCACAGGTTTCACTTATTATATTTAAATGAGATAGATTCACTTTCATTCTATGAGTTTAAATGAGTAGGCTACTATATACCTTTACGAAAGCGGCCCTCCGTAAGCGGTCAAAGATGTTATGCCCGAATTTTCTGTCCACCAGGAAATTTACCGTCTTTGGATGGCTGCTGATGCAGGCCCAATGTAGAGCAGTCCTATGAAAGAGAGAGGATGTTTTAGGAAAGTGTAGTGCACTATCTCAAAACTTACAATTATTCATGTAATTGTAAACATTAAATAGCATGGTATTCCTGTTTTCAAAACAAGTTTTTAATTTTCTTGTGAAGAAACGACAATATTTATTAGCTCTCAGCACTCACTACATTAATCAAAGAGCAGCCTATTGGAATGCAAATACACTGACCTTTGGATTCAGTTGAACTTGGGTTTGAAACCTCCTTTAAGCTCTACCACTAGCTATGGCTTAGCTTTTCTGTGCCTCAATTTCCTCATCAATAAAGTGGAAATGAAAATCACAGGGACACCTCACAGAACACCACTGTGATGCTTACATGAGAATCTATGCTAAATATTAAGTATTTTGAATAGTTTCTAGCACAAATAACAGCTCAATAATTGTTAGATATTATAATTATTACTATGACTACTATCTAACAAAGATGACATTTTGATTAAGTAAAATGATACAATTATACCTAATTTGTGGTATGTTTTAAAGATTAGGACTACAACTGTATTTCTATGATTCTAACATGCTCATTTTCTCACATTTTATCACCTCTGACATTGGAATGCCACTGGTAATTCATGATTGATGATAACTATAACTGGTAGCATTTTAAAAATTCTCTTATTGATGCATAAGCTAATGGGGCATCATAAAATCATGATGATTTACATTAAATGAAATTAGGTATATAAACAGGTGTCTGGCAGATCTGGTCATAGGTTTGGCATTTAAAGAAATTGTAGTTTTAAAAAGTACTAGGGAAAATGAAGGCTGAAATGACAAAAAGACATTTTTTAAACAAAGTTAATTCTTATTACTTTGATTTTCAAAAATTTTAAGCCAAAGGAAATGCAGGATTCAAATGAATAGGTGTGGTTCATTTTATTCAGTACTTAGATTTATTGAATGTCTGTAAATCAGATATTTCCAATGATTAATATTATTTAAGACCGTTATAAATTTCCAAAAGGGCAGTTAAAGGTTATCTTTTACAATTTTCTACCTTCAGAAATGCTTTTGTTTGAAAGGGGGAAAAGCTTCACTTGAGATCAAGTCCTAGTATAACAATTTTAAATCTCTCAACTTGCTCATACTGGACAGGTACACATTAAGTTTTAAGGACTGAATGCCCCTTAGTGGAATATGTCTGCTACATAGTAGGTTTTCAGGTTATGTCTGATGAATAAATGGATTGAAAGAATGGATAAATATGGTTGGGAAATTCAATATTTAAAAACTCATAAAGTAAAGCAATATTTTTGAAATAGCAATAATCATTTATATTTGCGATTTTTCTTTTTCTTTTTTTGTATGTTTATTTTTCTTAAAGACCCAACTAAAATAAAATGATTAATCTATAGTTTTTTGCATATGTATAATAAATTTATATACAATGAAAATATATGCAGATAATAAATAAAATCTAGGAGCATAAATAAAAAGATTCCCATTACTTTTGAAGAGGCTACAAGTTGGCAGAAGATACCAATCCAAATTAGTTAATTAATTAATTAACAGAAAGTGGGACATTTTTTTTCCTGCACAAGACTCATATCTCTGCCCTTCCTATTATTTCACTAATAATAAACTTTTACACATACTCATTGCAGAAATCACAGAAAAGAAAAATCTTTCATTTATAATACAAATTTCTAGTAATAACACATTTTATTACATTTTTTACATATTTTCAGTTAACACGTGACAGTAGTCTGTATGTATGTATAATCAAACTGATTTTTTTTCTTACTAGATATCTTAAAGTTTATCTTCACATGTCAGCAAACATATGTATCTGTGTCACCTTCAATGGTAACATACTATTCCAACCTATGCATGAACTGAAATTTATTTATAAATCCATTATACAGGTTCTTCTTAATACCTTGCTATTTTAAGCAGCACTGAGAGAAACAAATTGCCTGGATCTCTATTTCCTAACATATTTTAATATAATATATTGGACATGATGGGTAAAGGGCATATGCATTTTTTAAATGTGGTACTTACAACCAAATTGTCTACTTGAAAGGTCATGGAACAACTTAAACTTTAATCATCACCAGCCTAAGTACCACTGCTCTTCACCCTCGTAAACGTGTGAATAGTAAACAATATTTCTTTCCTCCTTTCACTAAATTCCTTCTCTTAACAGGAACACTAAATATTTTTTCCTAAGTCTATAGGGCAATTGTAATAATTCTGTAAAAAAATACTCTTCCCAATTTTAGAATTTTGTTCTTATTGATTTAAGAGAATTCTCTGTTAAATGAAGATAAATTTTTATTTGATATACATATATATTGTAAATATTTTACAAGTATGTTTTATTTTATATTGTTAATTTTTTTCTGATATATAGGAGGTTTTAACTTTTATTTTGCTAAATCAACTTTCAGAATGTTTGCTTGTGAGGTCATTCTTAGGAAGGGCTTTGTTAACATGAAAAGGTATCCATATATGTAAAAAGGCATTTGTGTTCTTTTCTGGTACTTTCTCATTTGTCATTTGGTACAGTTAATACTTTTAATTTATATTTCATCATGAACTTATTTCTGTGATACAACAATCTAGCTAGTTAGCTAGTTTTTTTTTTTCCAAACAGTTAACAGGCATTTTATTTACGAAAAATTCATCTATTCCTTACCATATGAAATGTCACCATTATCAAGTACTAAATTCTTACATATTTAGGTGTTTCTTGATTTTCTATTCCACTCCATTCATTTATGTCTTTTCAGATGTTAGTAAATGATCAATTTGTGGAAACTAATAGCATATTTTGATATCTAGGTATGCAAGTCTTTGTTCACACCACTACAAAAAGTTCTTTTAAATTATTTTATGGATGTTATTTTTGTGTCAGACAGAATCTTACTCTGTCCCTTCGGCTAGAGTGCCATGGCATCAGCCTACCTCACAGCAGCCTCAAACTCCTGGGTTCAAGTGATCCTCCTGCCTCTGCCTCTCGAATAGCTGGGACTACAGGCATGAGCCACCACACCCAGCTAATTTTTTCTTTTTTTTTTTTTTTAGTAGAGACGGGGTCTCGCTCTTGCTCAGGCCGATCTGGAACTCCTCAGCTCATGCGATCCTCCCGGCTCGGCCTCCCAGAGAGCTAGGATTACAGGTGTGAGCCACCAAGCCCAGCCCAAAAAGTTTCTTAATGTCATCACGACAATACGAGAGAGACACCACATGCAACTCAAAAATTTTTAAACTTTAATATTTTGGTATTGGTTGATGTAGGATTAATAAACACAAAAGAGCTCACATTTTCAGTAAAATGAGTTTTCCTATTCAATGACACGAAATCATCTTCTCACTTTAAAGGCGCCTTCTAAGGTCCCTCAGTAAAGAACACATAGACATAGGTGTACGTTGATCCAAAATGGACATTGGATTCTACCCAGTGAACTTTTATCCCGGAAGTTGATACATCATAGGGATTATTTCTCCCATTATATACTTTAGTGTATAAAACATTATGTTTTCAAATGTGTACATTAAAAATAAAGTACAGTATATACTTAATTTTGTTAGTTCAATCACTTTGAAATGCCCGACGTAGTGCTCTTCCAAGGGAATTAGGAGTGGATCAGAAACCAGATGACATTTGGCTTTTGTTTTGCGCCTCATAAAGAGGGCCCAGGCGCTGGACCCCTCCAAGGTGTCCTCATCCCAGGTGCTGAGGAGCCCGCGGAGGGCACAAAGCCGAGCACCCCGGGTGGCAGGAGGGCTCGGCCCCGCGGGCTTCTCCCACACATCCCAGCCCGCCCCCGGCCGCTGGCTCACATTACCTGCCCTTCTTGTCCGTCTCGTTCAAGAGCTTTCTCCGGTGGGCAAGGAACCACTGCACTTTCGCTACATCCCCCAGGAAGACAGCTATGTGGAACTCTCCCAACTCTTTCCCTTGGATTCCGCATCCCAGCTGTGAGGAGCAGGTGTCAACTCCGTCACTCCCGACACAGCAGCCCGAACAGGCCCACTGTGTGTTGGCCATCTTCCCGCCGAGGCCAAAGGCTGCTTCCGGGTAGAGCCTACCGCCTCCGAAGACACCTCAGCTCCCCCTCAGTTATGTCCGCCTTCACAGCCCACGGCTAGGAAGACAACTCAGTCAGACAGCAACGCCGAAGACCAGACTCCGCAGCTTCGCACCTGCCACACCGGCAAAGCCGAAGCCAAAGCCAAAGCCAAGCCGTTAGACACAGTGCGCGTGCGCGCCTCAGACGACAACGTCACTGCGCCTGCCCAACGGCCGAGAACTACTGGGCGGCGCGTGCCGATGGCGGCTGAGGCGCGGGAGGGCCAGGCCTCACAGAGCATGCGTGGAAGGTTCCGGAAATTCCTCCACGTCAGCTCAGGCAAGTTCTTTCCTCCTTGCTCGCGGCGGTCTGGACAGGGGCGGGGGACTTGAGGGGAGCAACCTCTGCAACCCCCATCCCTCCGCGCCCCAGCGGCGCGCACCCTGGTGCCAGACGCCTCGGGCCATAGGCCTGGCTGCGGGCACAGTGCCAGAAAGCAGCTGCTCAGCTCCCATACCCGCTGCCACCAGCGGCCAGCACCGTCGACCCCACGCTCCAGGCGCAGGCCGAGGAGGAGCTGGCGCGGGGCGGTGGGGCAGTCGGGCGGAGGGTGCGAACACCCCGGGACAGCACCAGTCATTGCCTGCGCCGCCTCGGCGCGCGCGCGGAGCTCGAGGTCCGGGGCGCTGGGCACTCCTGCCATCCTGAGGATCTATGCTGAGCAGTCGGTTCCCGCCCCTGTGTGCTGCTGCCACAGCCGGGTTGACCACCGGGCTTGGCCCAGGTCTAGGTGCCTGGTCTGGGGATCAGTGATGCTGCAGGTGCAGCGAGACCGGGGGTTTCCAGGCGCCACTGCTTGCGCCCGGCATGCGAGCCACAGCCTTAACTGTGTTGCCAGTGCTGGCACTTGGAGCTCTTCTGTGGTCCTCAATGTCCCCGAGCATCCCGCCCGCCTGGCCCGAGGGCCTGCCTGACTGCGCCGACCCACGCCTGCTCCTCCTTGGCCTGCAGCTGGAGCGAGGGGGCGGCGGCGCTGGACACGCTGCAGAGACCAGCATCGAGGATGAGCAGCTACAACCTGGCACTGTGTCTACTGTCGCCAGCTCGACGTCCTGGTGTGTCCCAGGTGAGCCCCCAGTCCAGGGCGGCAGGTGCAGGGTGAAGCTATGTGGGGTGGAGGGTGGGGCGTGGGAAGGGAGGGACAGAGGGCAGGAGGGGTCTTTATATATATCTATCTCTCTCTATATATATTTTGCAATTTTAATTTTGTTTTAACAGAATGTAATTGAACATTTAGTAAACTCCCAAAAATTTAAATAAATTACTTTTCTCTGTCCTTGCCCCCAAATACCCAGTTTCTCCCTTGGTAAGCAATCTTTCTTCAGAAACCAGAAAGCATAGAAAGTTTCCTGAAAGTTGGCTTTGCATTGAGGAGAACTGCAGGACTTAAAGAAAATTAAGAAAACGGTGGCCGTTTCTGAAGGACTGGAGCGACCTGTTCCCATCAAGAGGCTTCTCCTACTCCCTGAGCAGGAGGACAGGAGGCAGCTTCAGGAGAGATGGTGATAATTGAAGCAGTGAGATCCCGGAGAAAACAGGGGAAAGGAGACTTTGGCCTACAGGAAGGGTCAGGCTAGGACTGTCCCTCAGAAGAGGGGCACCAGGAGCCGCTTGGCTTGTGAAGGTAACCTTGTCTGTCCTCACGTCGGGTAATGAACCCCTGATTTTTGTTCAGATGTGAGAGGCAGCAACTACTGACCCTGTGTTCTTATAAAATCTATTCACCCACATGGAGTGGTGGACATTGCAGCAAGTTTCTCTGACAGTCTAATAAATAATATCCTTGTAGATTTCATTTTGCGGATTTTTGTTATACACTTTAAGAAGCACTTTATCTGTTAGCATATTTAATCACTCCACACTCTTTAAGAGTTTATTAAACCATTTAAATCATGAGGTTTTTTTTGTTTGTTTGTTTCTTTTTGAGACAGAGTCTCACTGTGTTGCCTGGACTAGAGTGCCATAGCATCAGCCTAGCTCACAGCATCTCCTGGGCTTATGTGATCCTCTTGCCTCAGACTCCCAAGTAGCTGGGACTACAGGTGTGGCCACCATGCCCAGCTAAATTTTTCTATTTTTAGTTGCCTGGCTAATTATTTTTTTCTATTTTTTAGTAGAGAGGGATTCTCGCTCTTGCTCAGGCTGGTCTTGAAATCCTGACCTCAAGCAATCCTCCTGCCTCGGCCTCCCAGAGTGGTAGGATTAAATCATAATATTGTGAGGTTCATCTTCAGGAAGAATTTGCCCATAGTCACCATTTGGTAAGTGGCAGATCATGAATATTGCTTGTCTTTTAAAAGAAGTTTTGTCATTATTTGGATATGGAGAGGCAAGTAATACAGTTCAGATTAGAACTCGGGCAGGACTCAGAATTTCCTATTTCAAATTTCGGATGGGAGTACACACTACCACCTGACAAGTGAAACAACAGCAGTTGCAGGCAAGCACCAGCAGGAGGTGGTATCTTTCTAGATTTCCACTGCCTTCTAGTGGAGCCACATGGTAAGTGAAAAGCAGTCTAGTGGCAGGTCATTCCAGTTTGAGGCCAAACCATCCTGCTACCTACAACAATTGTTTTAAAATGTAGGTGTAATTATTATTCAGGAATAGTGAGGCCAACAGATCGGAGCGATTTACATTAAAAAGATAGTTTGTTATACTCATGCATCCAGAGAAGTGGACACACCACACCAGAGGAGGCCACATAGAGGAGCACCAGGCTCAGCAAGGATGCAGAGTGAGTAAAGGAAAAACGTGCACAAGAGCCTTGATTGTGGTTTCCCCAGGAAAGAGGGGTTGGGACAGGGAAGCAGGCTTAGGATTGGCTGGTTTGAATAATTTCAGTTTGAATAATTTTAGGCTCTGGGGCATAGGATCTGTCTCTAGTTGTCTGGTACCTGATCCTGGGGTGAATTGGGCAGCGGGATAGTGGCCTGGAGCGTGGGAGCCCAGGGGAGGAAGTGACGGGGGGTTGTGGACTCTGGATTGATTAGTATGTGTGTAAAAGGTAATCACAGGAGAGTTGTTTGCTGTGTCTGAGAATTGGCTAGATGTGGGAGGGGCAGTCCAGGGCCAGCAAGACCCTAAGGTGTCAAAGAATCAGAAAATATAAGGCATAGTTAATATGCTTGCCTATGATTACCCCAGATTTAGTTAAAATTTTGAGAGAAGAGTTTATGAATTCCCAAGCACAGATTTTACAATCACTGGTCTGAAGTCAGAATTAACATATCAGTTTCGAAGGCCCAGGTTATCTCACACACCTCATGAAATGTTCCTTAAAATTGAGGTCATCATGTGTTGAGACTGTACACGTCTCTGTGATATGTCTGAAAGGCACATGCTGAGTCAGCCCAGAACAACCTTTGACTGGATCTCACACAGGGTGTGAACTTTTCATACACACAGCTGCCTTTTCCCATGTTGGCATCCTCTGCCATTGCCTGTAGACATTTGGGGGATGACAGAGGCTGAACCAGAAGGTATTCCACGTTTTTAGGAATCGGTGACCTTTGAGGATTTGGCTGTGGACTTCGCCGAGGAAGAGTGGTCCCTGCTGGTCACATCTCAGAGGTGTGATGCTGGATAATATCAGTCACCTGGTGTCTCTGGGTGAGTCTTTCACCAGTCACTTTTTTAATCAAAAATAAGCAGAGTAATTTTTCATATTCCACATCCTTCTTTACCCTGATTTATACTGTCATTGCAACTGTGTACTTCCTAAATGGTAGGACAAATTGAAGAACATGATAAATATATGAGGCATAGTGGTACAAATGACTGTGATAGGTTGCATTAAAGATATTCTGTAGCATCCTACCATCAGCTTTGACATTTATCCTCTCAGGGTCATGATTTGCTCCTCTGATTAATCAATCAGCATGTTCACATTAGTGTGTGTGTACTTTTTAATTTTAGTTATAGTTATTTGAAACATCTCACTTTTGAAATCTCAATCACATGTGGTATTGAACCTATATTCAGATTTTATTCAGTATATTTCTGTCATTTTGCTGTACTAACAGCAACAACAAAAAACAACAAAAACCCAAAACCTATAGTCATAATTTTCAAAGGCAAACATGAGGATTCAGCTCCATACTAACTGCATGAATGTGTGGTTGGCTTTGTCATGTTTACCTATAATTGGCTATATGTCCCATTTGCTTTTTGAGTTTCCTGATAAATGTCCTCACTTGAAGGTAATAACTTTTGTATTTTTATCTTGAATTAGTCACTATATATTGTATGAAATAGCCATTATTTGGTAAACTCTTTGTTTCAAGCCCATTCAGCCTACCATTGAAATAAAAGATTCTATTCGGAGTAGAGCAGTAAGAATGAAGGTTATACAAATATCCAGATCAGGTACATTTTCCAACACAAATTTAACTCTGGAAGGAAGTACATTAAAGTATTTGAAATGCTCATGGTCTTCTTATTCCTAATTATTTCTTTCCCCAAATTTGATGGAAGGATTTGATGTAAGTACTACAGACGTTATTATTGGTATCCACGTTTGACAAAAAGACATTTACAAGTGTAAGGAAAAGAGCTTTTAAAAATGTGAATTTTCACTCAGGTGTCTCTGCATTTATGTTCTGACATCCTAATGTTCCCAGTTTGGAATCAATCCTCATACTTGTTAGGGATCCACAGAGGTGAATTATGAGACTATATGATTTTTCCGGTGTTTCAAATGCTTATTGGAATTCTGATCTTTACCTAGAGGAATACCTTACTTGCTAACATGTCAGTTGTGTTTTCACTTTAATTATTTCATCTTAGTGCTGTTACAGTGATGATCTTAAGCCAGTCAGATGTTCTGATTAGCAGACTCTGTGTTGGGAGGGTGATATCTTTAATCATTAAAAATGAGGAAAGTAATTAACATCCCTTAATGACTATATGGTAGATGCAGACTTTAAAGACAGTGATTCTGAAACTTTTTGGCCTTAGGGTTCTTTTTACTATTAAAAATTATTGCATAGAGTTAACCAGCACCTTGTATTGGGTATTTGTCATTCTCTTGAACCTTTAAAACATTTTACTACGTGTGTGTATAGTTATGAATAATAGGTAGAATTTGTTTTCATGTCCTAAAATTTAGTATAAATGACTATACACTGTGTATATCATTCAGAAACTTTCTTTTGTTGTTTAGCAATTATATTTTTTATATCTACATTGACCCAAGTAGCTCTGATTTAATTTAAGTTCTTCATGGGATTTCATCGTATGACTGTGACAGATTTAATTAAACTCTTTTCATGGTGATAAAAATAAAAATGATTGTGGATTCTAAAGACCTTTTGTTTAAGTGGGCTAAATCTATTGATATTAAGTATATTAGCAATTAAAACTGAAAAATTTAAGATACAAGCGTGCACACCATACATTCCAATAGCTATTAGTATCCACCGTATTGTGACCCATCAACCATTAGAGAATATTATGACACATCAAGTCTCAGAAAAACTCCACTGTACTCTTATAAGAGAATGAGAATGAAAATGACAAATGTCATTTTTTATTGTTTAACCTCTTGGACCCCCTGAATGAATCTGAGATTCTCAGATCACAATTTAGAACCACTGTTTTAAACCATATATATAGTTTATGGGTGTCATCTGATGAATGACCCCGTGATAAAGAAATGGTCTTTAAAGTTTCACTTCTATGTGTGTTTTTCTTTCTTGCTCTTTATTTTCACTTGTCTTAAAAAGTTTAAATTCAACCATTTTGTTTATAAAGATGAAAGTATTTTTGATATGTAGTCATTTCGTATCTCTTGGCACTCTGAATTCTTGTGTGGACTTAGACTTATCCTCTTTTTACATGGGAACAATTAAGTCACTTAAGACCATTATTTTTCAGATAAATTTCTGATGTTTATCCAAGACTTTCAGTGTGGTTTAGGCTGGAGCTGGAACCTGGAAATGTGGAAGGAAACCCCGCTCCCAGACCCCTCCCCAGGGAGTGGAACCTTCTCCATCTTGTGCCCAACTGTAAAGAGCGGCAGTTGAAAGCTGCCTGGCACCAGTCAATGGGGTGCTTCTACTTGGGGACTCCAGCCTGAGTGGCCACCTTTGGCTTTTTAAGGACCCTTGTGCTGCCCCCAAAGAAGAGTTGTGCTCTGCTCGAGTCCAGACGGAGGCCAGAGTGGCTGACCTCACTTTGGTGGGGGACAGAGGTATCCTAGTGGCTTCTGATTCAGGTGTTATTGAATTATGGGAGTTGGGTGAGAGTAAGACACTGTCAGCAAGTTCTGCAAGTAGGAGCATGATGATCTTGTGTCTAGAGTCAGTGTCCTGAGCTCTGGCACACGGGATGTCAGTGGTGGCAAAGATTTTTGCATCTAGATTGGAGACCCTGCTCAGCAAATGGCTGTGAATTCATGCTGAGCAGGTCACCTATGCTGCCGCCTCTCCCCTCTAGGACTCTGTTTCTCTCATGCAGTGTGGACAGTAGCACTTTGCCCTGTGATACCCACTGTCACAAGCAGGCATCACGGGGGGCTGCAGTGTCTCTGGCTGCCTTCCTACCCCCTGGCTTGGCAGCTGCAGCAAGGTGAAGTCTCTGCCTTTGGTGATGAGACTGGGACTGTCTCCCTTGTGGACACCAGCCTGGCCCCTCTCAGTGCCGACTGCTCACTTGCTGTGCTGGACTCAGGCCTTTCCGAGGTGTTTAGAAGCTGAGCCCACACAGACTTTGTGAGAGATGCTACTTGGTCCCCACTCAGTCACTCCCTGCCTTTACCCCGGCGGGCTGGGACCATCAGGTCATCCACCATACTGTGCCCACAGAACCTCTCCAGGCACCTGGACCTGAGAGTGCCGCTGAGTAGATTGGATTGAAGACAAAAAGCAAGTTCCCCATGAATATTCATTTCTTTGCCCCTTCCCCCTCAGCTTGTGACAGCGTAGGAGCCTTCTGCGGTGTGTGGATACTCTAGACCTGCTCAGTAAATAGGCATGGTCTCTCGGCCTGAGCGAGGCTGGATTCTGGGATCCTGCAGTCACAGGGAGGAAAAACTTCCTTGAAAATGTGCATATATGTGTGTCTGAGTGTGTAGGTCTATAGTTTTTGGTGGTGAGCGGAATAAAAAAAATCCATCTCTTACCTTCCCTAAGCACTGACCCTCCCTTTTCCCAAGGAAAGTTGACAAGAGGGTTTTATGCTTCCCTTATGTAGCTGTCTGTCAGGAGTGGCCAGGTCTGGGTGGGGTATGGGATGTGGGCATCTCTGGATTCTTGGAAGCAGATCTTATGCTACTCATAGAGATAGGGTCAATTTTATTTTTGATAACACTTAATTTACCATTATCATGGGAAATGCTTCCAATCATGAAAATTCAGCCCAGCTCACTTTGAGGAAGAGGCAGGACACGCACAGTGTCACACAACTCCTTGCCATCAACTGGAATCAGAAGTGCATTTTCTGGCTGAATAAAAAGTTTGGCTGCTCCTCTTCCCCCACTGCTAATGGCATCGTGTCTACCAGAGAGGAGTGTTTGTGTCATAGATGCCATAGAGCTAAGTTTGGGGATGATGGAGAGTTTAAAGGCATTTCAGCTAGGTTAGAAAACTGACACACGGATACAAAGAAGAAATCTTTGTCGCTTTTCCCACCAGAAAACAGCTGGGGCCTGACCTTTTCTGCCTCTGGGCCCCTTTTTCTGGATATAGAAAGTCTGAATGCTTTGTAGACACCTAAGGTTTTTAATTCCAGCATCCAGAAGTGAATCAGAAATACTGGTTGGTGAAATAAAGAGTTTATTGTTTTAAAAAAAAGTAGAGTTCCTTGCTTTGCAGAAACAAAAAGTTCAACTTCAAAAAGACATGGAGGTTCACTTGCAGCTACTGTTTGTTTTTCCTGTTTATTAATTGTCTAATCCATTCTGATTTTCTACTTATGAAAAGCTTACATATAATATGGAGTTGTATAAATATGTAAGTGTGTGTAGAAATAGATTATTTCTACTATCTGAATGATAGGAGTTCAGGAAAACTGTCTCATAATCTTTGTTCCTTAATCGACCTAAGTCTCTCTCTCTGTCTTCGAATTGGCATATGAACTGGGAAACTAATTTAGCCATATACCATGTGACCTTGTGAATGATGATAAACATCAAGGAAATTGTTAAAAAATGGAATAAATGGTAGGCTTTGTTTTTTCTATTGACTTAAAGGTGAATTGTATTTATTTAAGCAATAAAATGGGAACATATGGAAAGGAAGCAATGACTGAGAAGAGGTCTAAAAATGTATCTAGCCTTCATAGTTGCAAAAAATATTCCCAGACAGAGGAATCTGTTTATTATACTTTCATGTATGCTAGTTTATCTGTTTAATTCAAACATTTGTAATTTATAATTCTATTTTGACCATTTTAAATATTTTTGAAAACAAATATAAATACTTTCACATAATTTTTAAAATCACCACTCTAAAATATTTCTGTCAAATCAGACCTTTACCTTATATTGTTTATTATAAAGTATGGTAAGTTTTGGCATGTATGATTTTATTATATAAGTAGCAACAATCCTCAGCCAAACAGAGTGGAAAGCTGAGTTCTGTACATTGATTTTTAAAGACAAAATTTTCTAGACAAAAATCTAGAGATAAAAGTAAAAGTAGATGAGGCCTCCCACCCCTTACTAAGGTATTAAATTACTTTGTGTAAATTACTTTTAATTTATCTAATTAATTTGATGAATTTATCTGCATTAACATGATGGAATTCTGTCATCTCTTTTGGTGTCATAAAATGCTAAGTAATGCCACTTTAGGAGACTGGGATGAATCATTTAAACTTTCCGGATTTTAATTCCATTATCAGTAGATAATGGGGCAAAAAGTGGGTAATTACTTATACTTTATATCCCCTGCCTATAAAACTTTATCGTTAATTGCATGTGAAATTTGGGAAGCATCTCATTTTCCAGAATTTCATACCAGCAGCTCGACGGTTTCACTCTGCTCCTTGTGTTGTGGCAAACTTTGGTTTTAATGAGCACCCTCACTTTTTTGATATCCCAGGATCCAAATGAAAAAAAAAATGATAAAAGAAAATGAGGAAAAGAGTAGCTTAGTATGAAGAGGGGAAGAGGGGAAGCCCCACAATGTCACATCCTCTGAATCTGCCTGTATAAGGTAAAATCCGGGTGGTCAAGACAGAAGAGGACACATTTTGTGTCTTTGTATTTTTATTTCTGTTTCTGCCAATCAAACAGAGTGAAAATTCATATTAGATAGTGAAGAGTGGATGAACAACAAACGCACAAAATTAAGAAGGGCCCTTTTTGAAATTTTGTAAAATTTTGTTTCATTCACTTAAACAGAAACGAAGCAGAATTTACAAAAATATCCATGATAAAATTATAATAATTATGTTATAATTATATGATAATCATATATAAGGATAAAACACAAAATATTTTAATGACTAAAATTATGACAATTAAACTGGGTCAAGTGATAAAAATCAATGAAAGGAAAAAAGTTGTTTTTACTGAAAAAAAGTAATAACAATAATTCTTGGTATGAAACTTTAATTAAAGGTTGAAGAACAAAGTAAGAAGCACAAAAGTAATGAAATGGAAGTACCAGAAAACCTGTGTGATGATGCCACTGATGACGATGACAAAGATGGATCAATTCAGCAAGGAAAGATTGGAAAAACTGATAATCAGCAATTTGCTGGGAAGGAGAATAAAGAATGGGATAGGTAAGCCTGTAGCAGTATTTAACAGTACAAAATTATTACTGTATTATAAAACTAATCTTAATTTGGGCTAATATTCATGATTAATAAATTTTATACTTTTACTAGGGGTATTCAGCCTTACCTAGAAATCAGAAAAATGCAAATTAACAATGATATACCGTTTTTCCAATCATACTGATAATTTTTTTAAAAAATAATAACCAGTGTTGGGAAGTGTCAGGAAAATAGCAGTCTCATACACTGTTGGCAAATGCAATTGGTAAATCCTTATTGAAGGGTAATTTAGAAGCATCTATCAAAATTTCAAATACGTGATTCCTTTAACCTAACAGCTTCATTGCTGGAACTAGATATTACAGGAAAACATGGCTTGTACAAATACACAAACATAGATGTTAAGGTCATTTATCATATATTATATGTAACATATAATAGTCCTATATATATAAAATATATATAACATATGTTAAGGATATATAATATGTGTATGATAAAGATATAAATTTATCTGTTTTTTGAAGCAGGGAATATACATTTCCTTGTATGTGCTTGGTACTTCACAACTGTCTTCTGAATACATGAATTGATACGAGGACAGGGTGGAATTTTATAATTTTTTTCATTCTTTGTTAGTAGAATTATTAGAAAACATTGGCTTTTCTATATGGATTTTTTTAAAGTGGTGTTCCGGCCTTGCACTTGAAGGGAGTAAAGACAAATGAAAATAAAAGCTGGACCTCAGAAGAATCTGTGATGACATCAGTGTTTGAGGAGACCAGCTTATTAACTGGTGGCCTACTGCAAGTGGATGATGACAGGAGTTTAAGTGTAATACATCAAGATGAGGGAAGGTAAAATCTATACATTCTTTATTTCCCTGTGAAGGGATGTTAGCAGTGATTCCTTTTTTCTGGAAATAGAATAGTGTAGTGTGCCAAAGCTAGAGAATACTCAACTGAATCGGTGCTGTTGAAAGATTGATTAAAATGAGGACTAGTGACTTTGACAAAGAGCAATTTCAATAAATGGTAACCATGGAACCTTTACTGTAGTGAATAAGCGTCGATAACTCGAGTTGACAACTGAAGAGTTTGTGCTGGAAGAGGCAATAGAGAAGTGGGTAGTAAGTGAAGAAGAATGTGGGATTCAAGGGAGTTTTCTTTCTATTTTTACTTTAAATTAGAAGCTATTGGAGTATGTTTGTGTGCTGTTGGGAATGATCCAGTAGAGAAGAACATGTTTATGAAATTTAATTTTCTTTGCATGTCTAAGCATTAGAAAGGTCGGTATGTTATCTTTCAAAGATTTGTGGTAAACTAATTGTCCATAGTACTTCACGTATAGTTTTATGGTAATTGGTTGTTTTTTTCAGAATTGGTTCAGAAATGAAATATTGTAATATAACTGAACATGCAAATGATAACCTAAAAGTTAAGCTGTCATATATAAATTTTTAACAATGATGTAATAATAAACATATGAACACTTAGGCCATGCTGAACAGAAAACATTCCTGGATAATTGTATATGTTACAGTACTTTAGATGGTAGCATCATGAATAGCTATGATTTTGTAAGGAAATTTAAAATATCAGGTGTATGAGCTTTATAGTTGTTTAGATTCTAGGGAAAAGAGGAGAATTTGTTCATGTATAATAGAAAAGCAAACTATTGATAATCTATTGCAGATTATTAGTTTGTGATTATAACTTCTACAGTATAAAAAGCATGTTTCCCTGTACCAACAGTGTCATTGACATATATTGTGTGCTCATCAAGTATGTGTTAAATGCATGAATAGACAGTTGAATAGATGAGTGAATGCCTGTTGATGAATTTCTTTAGAAATAATTCTTAGTTTATTGAAAAGAAATTGCCTAGTTATAAAGTTTTTATTTAAAAAATAGTTGCAATATTCAGAAATTATTATTTATAATTATAGCCAGAAATAGAATGATTATATGGATTCCTCTGCTGTCGTGTCTCTTAAAAACACTGAAAAATAAATATTGCTTTCACAGCATATTGTGAAATACATGGTTTGGAGCTAGATATCTTGGGTTTGAATGCTGGATCTGCTACTGACCAGCTATGTGGGTTTGGACAAGCTACTTGGACTTTCTGTTGCTATTTTCTTTCTTTTTTTTTTTTTTTCTTTGAGACAGAGTCTCACTTTGTTGCCCGGGCTAGAATGAGTGCCGTGGCATCAGCCTAGCTCACAGCAACCTCAAACTCCTGGGCTCAAGCAATCCTACTGTCTCAGCCTCCCGAGTAGCTGGGACTACAGGCACGCGCCACCATGCCCGGCTCATTTTTTCTATATATTTTTAGCTGTCCAATTAATTTCTTTCTATTTTTGGTAGAGACGGGGTCTCGCTCTTGCTCAGGCTGGTCTCGAACTCCTGAGCTCAGAACGATCCGCCCGCCTTGGCCTCCCAGAGTGCTAGGATTACAGGCGTGAGCCACCATGCCCGGCCTATTTTCTTTCTTTATAAAATATCTAATATGTTATCTACCTCACAGAATTGTTGTGACTATTAAATTGAGTTTCACACATGTACAGTGCTTAGAATAAAGCATAGTAACTGCATAGTAAATCCTGAAAACGCTAACTAGTATCATCATTTCAAAAGGTTTTCCCTCATATAAGGACTTAATATTTTCTAAATAGGTATCTGTGCCAGTAAAAAGCTTGTCTTTTCTGAAAAGGATAATAGCAACAAAAAAAACCTGGTATATTTATTTCTATTAGATAATGCAAGTAATATGTTTTTCCTAAGTGCAGAAATTTTATATTAAAAAGCAATAGTTATAGATATTCTTTGTATTTTATTTAATGTATATTTGTTATTTACCTAGAATGAATTGTTTGTCTTTTTAGGTCTGCAGAGGAAACACCTGAGGAAAAGAACACGGTATTGTAAAAAATAAATTATCAAAAATATTATTGTTAAAAATACATTATAAAAGGTAGGGTGAAAAAACAGAGAATCTTTTTTGTGAGGACATTGCCTTTGAAAAAGTGATTAAGAAACAATAGCCATTGATATGTGTATCCTTTTAACAAAAATCAGTTATTTTATGAAGTATCTGTGTTGTTGCTCATATAAAAAGATGTATAATTACCATTTCTGTACATTTAGTATGTGCTATAAATATTTTGGGGACATTTTGAAATAGTGTCATTTATTTTATAGGTCAAAACGCAAATACTTGCCAGGGATGACCTTGATGTCTTAACTCAGTCATCTGAAATAGTCTCAGAGGATTGTGAGTTGCCTTCCTGGAATTGCAAGAACTTTATGTCGCTCATTGAACAACTTGGAATGGATTGTAAAGGTAGGACCATGGCATAAGTACATGTATCCTGTAGTAGTGTATGCACACATTGCTCAGCACTGCACCATAAAGCACTCATACTTTTTCTTATACTCATATAAGAAATATGCTTTGTGTTAAAATAGAATAACTGTGGTATATTGTACACTCAGCCCAAATTCCACTGTGCTTTTTTTTTCTCAGTGCGAGTGGCACTCCCAGCGTCTTTGTTGGCTCTGCTTCTCTCCTATGCCTTTATCCAAGTTCATGTTACCATTATCTCCCAGCTGGAATACTGCAATAACCTTAGAACCGTTTTCTCTGCTACCCCACCTCCTGAAACCCTGGTCTACTCTGTAACCATAGTTATATATTAAAAAAAAAAAAAAATACAGATCTGATCATGTTACCCCCTTGCTTAAAATGCAACTACCACTTCTCACTGCTATAAGGTTAGAGATCTCAGTCCTCTGGTTTTATCCTGCATCATTCCATGCCCTTCTTACTCTCTGGGTCCCAGACCCTGTCTTAGGTGTTTGTACCTGCAGTCAGTAGCTTTAGTGGGGTATAATTGATGTATGGTAAACTGCACATATATAAAATGTACAATTTGATAAGTTTCCGTGTGTGTATACACATGCGAAGCCATTACCGTAATCAAGAGAGTTAGCACATCCATCACAACAGTCTCCTCATGCCCCTTTAAATTCCCTTGTTAAAAAAACTAATAAATTGTTTTCCGAAGTATTTGTACCATTTTCCATTCCCATCAGTAGTATATGACAGTTCTAGTTGCTCTGTATTATAACAAATACTTAGAATTGCCAGTTATTTTTTTTGTTTTTTGTTTTTAGCCATTCTGATGTGCATGTATTCTGCATATCATTATGGTTTTAATGTGTATTCCCCTAATGACTAATAAAGTTGAACCTTGTCCCATGTGCTTATTTTCCATCTGTACATCTTCTTTAGTGACGTGTTTCTTCAGATCTTTTCCCATTTAACAAATTAGGTATTGTATTTTCTTATTTGTTGAGTTTTAAGAGTTCTTTATGTATTCTGGATACTATTCCTTTATTAGCTATCTGTTTTGCAAGGTTTATTTTTCAGTTTGTGGCTTGACTAGTCTCTTAGGATCTTTTGAAAAGCTGAATTGTTTAATTTTGATAAAGTCCATTTTATCTGTTTGTTCAATTATGGATTTAGCTTTTTGTGTCATATCCAAGAAATCTTTACCTAGCACAAAGTTACAAAGATTTCTCCTATGCTTTCTTTTAGAAATTTTATAGTTTCAGTTCTTATGTTTAGGTCTATGCTGCATCTTCCTTTTCGTTTATGATTTGAGGTGTGGATTCAGACTTCCAGGTTCATCGCTGCGACTCAGGGAGTGTGGTAAACTCCACCTCAGCTTTTTCTCCCTGTGTCATGGCCTGGAAACTCCATCAGGGCAGGGAGCTGGGGCATTCCTAAGGCTTATTTCATTTGTTTTCTGTCTTTCAGGGGTCATTGTCTTCAATTGGCTCAAGTCCACTGTCTTGAAAATCACTGTTTTATGTATTCTGTCTGTTTGGTTTTGGTTGTTTCAGATGAGAAGGAAAATCAGTACCTATTACTCCATTGTGGCTGGAGCAGAATGCAATAGAGCTTCAGCACATGCTGTCGACTCACTAGAATGCTTTTCTTCCCCCTTCGCTTAACTGCTTCCTTCTCATCCTTCACTTCTCAGCGTTGCCATGTCTTCCCTGGGTGCACTAGGAATCAAATTCTCTTATGTGATCACAGAACTCTGTTTTCCTATAGCATCTGTCTGAATTTATAATTGTCACTTTTTTTTGTTTTTGTCTTCAGTACACTTTAAGCTAAACAAGAGCAGAGGTCTTGTCAGTTTTATCTGCAGAGCTTAATATAGTCCACTTTATGCACACTCAATAAATACTTGTTCAGTGTATGAATGAGTGAATGTTAAAATGCATAGTCCTTTATATCCAAAACGTACTGATATATTTTATTTCTAACGTTTTATTCTCCCCGAGACAGATTCTGTTAGCCTATTGAAAATCCAGGATGCAGTTCTTTCATATGAAAGATTAATAGAACTTAAAAAAAATCACTGTGAACAACTTACAGTAAAAATTAAAAAAATGGAAAATAAGGTTAGTGTACTACAAAAGGAGCTATCTGAAACAAAAGAGATAAAATCACAATTAGAGTACCAAAAAGTTTCTTGGGAGCAAGAAGTCTGCAGTTTGAGGTATGATATCTTTCTTTTAAAGAAATATTTGAACTTTTACTTTATATTTAAGATATGTAGGAGAATTTTTGTAATTATTGATTTACCTTCTGGGATTTAACAGGGGAGAAAATGTCTTAATCTTATACAATGTGAAATTTTTAGAAATAATATAATGAGTTTTTAACTTGAATATTTCTACCACTAATTAAATGCATATTCTTTTAAATCATAATTTTATTGGCTATATAGAAGTCTACCATATAGAAATCTCATTATTTAACAAATTATATTTTGGGTTTTAAAATTTTTGTATTATAATTAATGCTGCAAGGAACATCTTTTTTGTGTCTTTTTTACATTTTTAATTATTTACTTCTAATAAATTCTTCAATATAGCATTATTTGGTTAAAGTATAAGAATGTTTTAACAAAGGTCTTTGATCAATATTTTTAAATTGTTCTTAAGAATGTTTGTATTAATTTACAATTCAACCAACAGAGTAAGAATATGCCATTTTTCTCAATGCAGAATAATTTTTTAAGCATTGTTTTATTCTTAATATGCATGGAATAAAAAGTAAAATGGGAAATGATTACTGATTAGCTTATTCAACATGTGTTTACTTATCTTATACAGATAAAATTAATTTGAAGTTCTGTGTTGAAAATGCATATTATTTTAATTATTTAATTAGATATTAGATCTTATTCCAAAGTGACTTTAAAATTCTTTATAAAATACATAATAATCAGCAAGATAAACTGAATGTATTACCAAAAGAAGAAACATAAGAAGTGTGAAGTAACAGATGTTAAAATCCTTAGCCTAGTCTTGGTTTATAGTAATCTGCAGGTATATGCTGTGTGAAAGACCTCTGAAGGTGCTTCTTTTACACTGTAAATCATTTTTAGGGATACCTGCACTATTTCATGAAGATTAAAATTTATTTCTAGTGAATTTATAAATTCGTTCATAAAAAGTAACTTCTTTTAAATTAATTACCTGTAAATCATCTATCCTAATTGAGGAGTATTTATGACTGGTCAGGAAAAAAAGGTAATTTTCAACTTACAATTTAACTGTATAATTTTCAATATCTTTTTCATAATATTTACCAGAGTGACTAGTATCAGAAACTTACCAATTGGCACAATGTTCTTTCATCACTACTTTTCAAGTATATATGTCCTTGGAAGAATTGAAGTGAGAAACTAAAAACATGAGAACTAGAAAAAAAATTTTCAAGTACATAGAAATTTTTTTAGAACAATAAGCCAACACGTGAAGAGCCAGGTCAGAAAATGATTTTTTTTATTTTATAACAAAATGAATTTTAAGGTAAGTTATTTAATTTCAGATTTACCTTAAAACAAGAAGAAGAGAAGAAAAGAAATGCCTATATGCTGTATGAAAAAATCAGGGAACAGTTAAGAAGAAAAGAAGAGGAATATAGCAAAGAAGTTGAAGTGAAACAACAACTTGAACTGACTCTGAGGACACTAAATATGGAATTGAGGACAGTAAGAAATAATTTGGATCAGGTGAAAATTTTATAGTTCTAACTTTATTTCATCAATAATACTTACAATAGTCCTATGATTTGATATATGTTATTTGCGTTTAAAACAAACCAAAAAGGTTATCTCGTCTTAAAAATGAACTATGACATTGATAGCTAAAATTATTTATTATAAATCTTGTCATCTAATGGATGTTCAGTATATGTTTTCCGAATGAAGGAATGGAGGGTAAGTTGAATTTATTTACTAACATAAATGTTAATTTAGGTATTTTTATATTAGAATACAAGCAAAATAGCTTTGAACCTATAATGAAACTATTCTAATGTTTTGTAAAGAAATTTTTTTCACAATACTGTATTTACTGTATTTAAGAACTTTTATTTTTGCTCTGATGAATTTAACTCTGCCATTTATGCAATTAAAATTTGAGTAATTCTTGAGGGATAAAGGTCCTTGCATTTTAATAGGCTCCTTACTTTTAACAGTTTTTTTTTTTTTAAGATTCTGCTTTTAATTAATGCTTTGGACTTTTTTTCCAATGCTGTTAGACCAAAAACTTAATATCTCTCCAGGTTATACAAGAGCGAAATGATACCCAGAAACAACTTTCTCAAGAACAGAATGCTAAAATAATGCAAGATGAGATTCTGAACAATCACCTTTGCAAACAAAAGAACCTAGAAATGGCTCTAAAGAAAATGAATTCTGAGGTATTTTCTTTAGTCATTGTCACATATCTGTTTATGTATTTGTATGTGTGTATATTTAGAAAAACAACTATATGCATCTTGGAAAGTATAGAGGATTTTTAAGCGATATATGTGTGTATATGTATTTTGGGATGGGAGTGGGGTGGTATTTTTGGCCCATTGCAGACAGCAATGTTCTCGATTCAGCTCCATTTGTCTGCAGCACTCACAATGGCCTCATCCAAAGAAGAGGCTTTTAATATTTTCTAAAGGAATTGATGAACTTACCATTATCTCAAAACCCTTGCTACTAACAATAAATGTTCTAGTTTTTGGAAGTTATTTTATTCCCTTGATATATTAATGGAAAAGTTAGTTCATTATTTCCTCTGACAGGTAAGGAGGAAACTGATAGCCAGTTCATAGACCATATTTTCGATGTTATTCTCCTCACTTTTGAGAAGAATAACAATTTCTTCCTTGTGGTATCTTATTTCAGTATGAGGAGCTTTGAAAACAATGGTATGCCATAATATATACTGAGTAATAATTTATTGGTAAGTATCTTGGTCCTAGTAAAATAGTTAACTGTTTTTCCCTTATTTTACATTGATTACTGTTGCAAGCATTATGAACAGAAAACAAAAGGTATTGCAATAGCAAATATTCTCATGATTTTCTAAGAGCTCTTCAAGTAAGATAAAATTATATTTTATATATTTTAAATATTATATTTTAAAATTATTTTATATATTATATTTTATATAAAATTTATATTTTATATTATTTGCCATTAGTGTTTTGAAATAAAAGACATCTTTAATATTTATATATTTACACCACAGAAGTAACCCTGATTTGGTAGATGATCACTGGAAGTAGAGTCAGAGAGCTGGGGAACATCCTGCAGCTTGATTTTATTTTTAACCTCTCCTTTTCAGAATTGTGATAACCAAATGAATTCATTGATGTGTATAGAAGTGCTTAGTACAATGCCTAGAATTTGTCAATAAATGTAATTCTTATAACTGATTATAAACATGTCAGAAAAGTAGAGTATCTATAGAATATTCTCAGGAAATAGGAACTTAAAGAAATTTGGGAAATTTCATCTGTACAAATATATGCAGAGCTAAGACTCTTACTATAAGGTAGTGTATAGGTCAGATATCAGAATGTAAACTCAATTTTTTAATGGAATCAAATTTATTAATGTTTTATTTTATACCTTAGAGTTTGTTGTAATTCAGAGAAAGGTTTTCCAATTCTGAGATTCTTAAAAATTCTCTAGTGATTTAATTTTTACTTTCATGAATTCATTATCTTCAAATAAAGTTTTGAACTTTTGGGAATTTATGCTCTATAAAGTTTAAGGTTTTGATCCAACTTTTTGTCCAGTTGGAGATCCACTTATTGTAGACCTGTCATTGTATAAATGTACAGGGTATTCTTTAATTTCAGAGAAAATCACAATATGCCTTTTTATTGAGTGCTAGCTAAAAGGGTTTTTTTTTGTTGTTGTTTTATTTAGATTTCTCATAGTCATGAAAAAGATCTGTTACATAAAAATCGCATGTTGGAGAATGAAATTGCCGGGCTGAGACTGGAAATAGACACAATAAAAAAACATATACAGGAAATAGAAAAGAAATATTTCAAGGACATTAAAATGGTGAAAGAAAAGAATGATGACCTTCAAAACACCATGAAACTGAATGAGGAAGCGTTAATAAAAACAGTATCCCAGTATAGTGGACAACTGCATGTTCTGACAACTCAGAACATGATGCTGAATTCTAAACTGAAGAATGAAAAACAAAACAAGGAAAGACTGGAAACAGAAGTTGAATCGTACCGTTCTAGACTGGCTGCTGTGTTACGTGATCGTGATGAAAGTCAGATATTAAAAAGACACTTAGAACTTAGTTTCCAGAGAGCACGAGACGAATGGTTTGAGTTACAGGATGAGATTAATCGTGACATATCTAACCTAAAAGATAAAAATGTGAATCTTTCTCAGCAACTTCCTAAAGCTAAATGTAAATTCGATAGCCTAGAAATTGAGCTCAGTCACACGAGAGATACTGTCCGACAAAAAACTTCGGTTTTAGAGCTTGTACAAGGAGACCTTAGCCAAACGCAGTGTCAAATGGAGGAAATCGAACATATGTATCAAAATGAACAAGGTAAAGTTAAACACGTGGGAAAGGAATCTGTAAATGAGGGATTGTCTCAACTACACAGTGAAAATACGTTGCTTCGACAGCAACTGGAAGATGCTCACAACAAAGCTGATGATAACAAAAAGAAATTAATTAATATCCAAGACCAATGTCACTCTGTTGTAAAAAATCGTCAAGCTGAAGGTGAAAGGCAAAAGCTTGTGCTACAAGAGAGAAATGAGTTAATCCATGAGTGTGATCAGTTGAAAGAAAGACTGCACCAATATGAAAAAGAGGAAGCAGAAAGAGAAGTAAATATCAAGAAATATAAATATTTTTCAACTTCTCTGACAAAATTTAAAATAATATTTGGTTATGGCTAAATGTTGAATCTAGTTGAATATAAAAATATATAGATTATAAATGTATTTGCTATATCAGCACAGAAACATACCTTCTTTCCAGCAAATAAGAGCTGAGAGTTGTTTTACTTTGAGTAAAGACATTGTGTCTCCTGTGAAATTTTAAGAGGTTAAGTTACAAATTATTAATAGATATAGACTAATATTAATAATGTATTCTTATACTGCTAATATAATAGTTTTAATGTCTTTATGTTGCCACATTTTAAGACCATAATGAAGCAGACAAGCAGAAATTCTCGTACCTGAAATGAGTATTTTGGAATTAAGTGGATTACTTCGACAGCTAATTCCAGACTTTTCAGATGAATGGAAGTGTATTACTGTACCTCATAATGACTTTCCATCAGTAGCTTTTCATATATCTTAGTTACTATAATTTTATTTTTAATCATGTCAATTTGACTTAAATCTAAAAGTATTTCAATCTCAAATTATGTATTGTTATGACTCTGAATTCTTTAAAGGCAGCTGCTTTTTATTAAATCATAATTTGGGACAAATATGGTGAACTTTAACAAAACTATATTTGATTTAATCTTCCCACTGGAATTTATAATTTACTTTGAATATTCTTATAAATAATTTGCCCATTATTTTCATTTCAAGGCCAAATGACCATCATTTGGATATACCGGATATGACTTTGTCCAGTACAAGAATAGTTGTAGCTATCCGTGATTTATTAGTTTAGCATTGGGTCCCCGTTTTCAGAACAGTGAGGGGTGGCAGGATTCACATCTAGCAGAAATGCAGTGAGTAGGGGAGAGAGTTGTAGGAGCTTGAGGTCAGAGAGGGAAGTAGAGGCCAGGTTACCTAGAGGCTTGAAGACCATTAGAATTTTACCTTTGTTCTGAGATAGGAATCTATTGGAAGGGTTTGAGCAGACGACTGAATATGTGAGGAACTCTGAGGTTGATTTGGGCTTTTAATGAAGAAGAGGAAAAATATTTCGCAGTGTAGAATTTGCCACCACCAGTCCCACCCACATACTTATTTCTTTTCAAGACTCCGGTTGGTTGTTAAGCATTTCACAGTCACAGGTGACGAATGAATAATGGGCTGAATCTGTTGTCTGAGTGACAGAATACCAACTTAGCAGGAAGATAACACCTCTGTGACCTTAACTGTAAACGGGAATGTGTGCACATGAGGAAAAGGAGGTTAATTGGTGTATGTTGGTGGTATTTTTCAAAGTATATATGTAAGAGTTAAATATTATTAGCATGATTAATAAGGTGATTTATAACATCAGTAACAAGATTATCTTATCAGGTAGTTCTGAGACAACGTCAGCAAGAGCGGGGCGTTACCCTAAAAAATCTACCTGGGTCAGATGCTTCACTAGAGGTTGCATCACATAGTCACACTCATGTAGAAGATGAGACAGAGGATTCAAAGAAGAAATTAGATCAAAGCAGAGGCCAAGTACGTATTGCATTTAACATGTCAACAGTGAATCAGTAGCTGGGTGAATAACAAAGTGTTTTAGCACATTAATTTCTGTGGCAGCTTTCTTTTTTATTTTCGTAATTAATTTTATTATCTTTGTAATGCACTTATTTCATAAAGCCTGACTTTCATTCTGCCATTTTTTAAATGATTACATTTTTTCTCAATATTTACCCTTAGGAATGTTGAGAATCATACATCCTTTCTAACATAAGCTGAGAGACATTTTTTCTGTTAAACAGTATTCTTTAGTGATTTCTCTATTGCCATGGTGAGGCAAGCTAGATTAAATTAGAGGATAATGTTGAAAGGAATTTTCCAGAGAATTGTCTTGTTATCGTTTCTTTTATCAATGGATACAAAATCTGTGTATATTTATTTCATGGATTTCAGGATAACTTGTACAGATCTGTTCTCCAAAATGCATACGTTTAGTTTAATTTATAAACTATTTGAAAAGAGAGGCATGTTCATTTCTCCCTCATTTTAAATATATTATAAAAGCATAGAAATATTCAGATCATGTATGGTATGTATATCCAAAATATAGAAACATAGTATTAAGAGAATTATCTACATGCTACCATTGAGTTTTTAAAAACAATTTTATTGAGATATAATTCACATGCCACACAGTTCATCCATTTAAAATGTACAACACACTGTCTCTTAAACAGCAGTCCCCAACTTTTTTGGAATCAGGGACCAGTTTCATTAAAGACAATTTTTCCACAGATCTTTGGGGGAGGTGAGGGGTTGGTTTCAGGATGATTCAAGCACATTACATTTATTGTGTAGTCAGACCTTTCTGCTAATAATAATCTGTATTTGCAGCCGCTCCCCAGCGCTAGCATCACCACCTCATGTCCACCTCAGATCATCAGGCATTAAGAGTCTCATAAGGACAGACAACCTAGATCCCTCGCATGCGCAGTTTATCGTAGGGTTCGTGCTCCCGTGAGAATCTAGTGCTGCCGCTGATCTGACAGGAGACTGAGCTCAGGTGCTGATGCAAGCAACGGACAGTGGCTGTGAATACAGATGAAGCTCCCCTGGCTCACCTGCTGCTCACCTCCTGCTGTGCAGCCCAGTTCCTAACAGGCCATAGACCAGTACCCGTCAGCGGCCCAGGGGTTGGAGACCGAAGTCTTAATATATTCACAGAGTTGTGTGACCATCACCATAGTCAATTTTAGAACATTTTCATTACTATGAAAATCCTGCATGTTTTAGTTGTTCTTGTTATTTTTTATGGGCAGCAACCCATATTTAGTATCAGTGTCTGCATCAGTTACCTATTGCTGTATAATAAACCTCAAAATTCATAGTCTCAAGACATTTATTTTGTTCACAGTCTGCAGTTTTAGGCAAGGCTTAGTAGGGCCAGCTCATTTCTTCTCCACTTGGCATTGGCTGTGGTGCCTTGACACTGGGGACTAGAATCACTGAAAGGCTTGTTCATTCACGTCTGTCAGCCGAAGCTGGCTTTTGGCTGGGACTGGAGCTGGGGCAGTCGGCTGGAACACCTCCACAAGGATGCACCGTGTGATGGGGGCTTCCTCACAGTATGGTGGCTGGATTCTAAGGACAAGCTTCCCTAGAGGGAGAAAGTCAGGTGGAAGCTCTGTTACATCTTCTAACCTAATCTTAGCAGTCACACAGCAGTTCCACCCTATCATATTCACTAGGATCCACTTACTAAGGCCAGCTCATGTTCAGGGGAGGAAATTTCATGGGAGAAATGTGAAACAATTTGTAGACATTTTAAAACCACCACTCCACTCACCTTTTTAAAGTCAAATAATCATTACATCTGAAGTACAGTAGGTCCCTCCATCTCTGTACCACTGCAATTCCAACAAGGTTTTTGTTGTTGTTGCTATTGTCGATTATGCTCCCTTATTTTGTGTAAAGTAACAAAGGATTAAACCATATTGAATTAAGGCATTTTTGTTTTAAAAAAAGTATAGATCATGTCACTAAACATTTTACTGGGAGATGATTGCCTCTTAACCCCAAGAATTATTGCTTTTTGGAATACAATTCAAATGAGCATAAAACATTTGCTGTTCACATAAAAAGGCTTATAGCATTAGAATCTGTACTTACAGATTCATTTTATTAGAGTCTTATTTTATATTTATTTTTTATTTTATTTTTTTGTAGAGATGGAGTCTCACTGCGCTGCTCAGGCTAGTCTCAAACTCCTGGGCTCAAGCGATCCTCCTTTCTTGGCCTCCCAAAGTGCTGGGATTACAGGTGTGAGCCACCGCGCTCGGCATTATTTTCAAAGTCTTATTCTGAAAACCATTTGTTGACTCGGGCCTAACTAACTGAATATCATGTCCCTAAACTTTCTTTAGAAATTATGGGGAGTGATGATTGGGGTTAAGGAGTAAGAGATTTTCTACTAAAAGGTGACTTAGAATCATTTTGAGGAGGAAAGACATGAAACAATCATGGAAAAAGAAAAGTCAAAGATCAAGTGCAAATGTTGCATGGCAACGATGACACTAAAGAATATATTTTTGTGACTCCTGGTGGTTTTAACTTTGTTCCTGATTTTCTGAATAATTCAAGGGCCCATATTTTAAAAATCTACTGTAGTGTAGATAACATTTTATTGGAACTGAATTTATTTCAAAACTTGTCAGTATTGTGTTAGTAGATCATTCTCATCCTACTTCCTTCATTACTAACTATGTAATTTTATTCATGTAGATTGATAATCTTACAGCAGAACTGCAAACTGCATCTTTAAAATGTCAACATCTGAAGGCAAAGAATCAAATTCTTCAACAGGAGTTATTGTTTGTGAAAACAATACAGAAGAAATGTGAAAAACTACAGAAGAAGAAGAATAACTTGGAACAGGAAGTAGTAAACCTCAGAAGTCATATGGGAATGAATATGGTAGAACGTGGTCAAGTAGAACAGTATAAACGGGAAATTGAAGAAAGAGCAAGACAGGATATAGGAGAAAAATTAAAAGAAGTCAATCTGTTTTTACAGGTTAGTTTATCTGTAAGATGCGTTCATTTATTTCACTGCAGATTATATTTTGGATATGTATTTCTTTTTCCTCTAGTTTTCTTATAACAATTTGTTTTGTAGATTTCTAGAAGGAAGGTAGCATCTGTTTCTCCCTTTAAATTTTTCAGTTTCCATTATTATAAGTAAATCAGACTGATGATTCTCTAACAAGATTATCAAGAATAGCTGGCATAAAACAGGGCTATTAGGAACAGAAAAAAAAACTGATTTAGAAATTAGACCATACACTTGACTTGTTCTTAAGTTATATTGTTCAAACTAAAAATTTTAAGTTGATTCTGTTATTCTTTGGATTATCAGATTACATGAAATACTAACATAAGAATTATTATATTTTTTATAATTCAGATTAAATTATCAATTTAGTTGATATTGATGATAAATATTTTGAACTTTAGCTTTTTTTTACGTATTTAAAATTGCCTCTCTGAATCACTGACTCAAAACTAAAGGTGACAAATATCCACTAATTATTTGAGTTATTATTTTAAAAATTTATCTTTTTAATTTGCTTTAGGCACAAGCAGCATCTCAAGGTAACTTAGAGCAGTTAAGAGAGGATCATATCTCTTCAATACATTATGAGATGGAACTCAGAATTAAAGCGATGGAATCTGAAATGTCCAAAATGAAAACTCAAGAAGAATTTAATAAAGCTGAACTGGAACAATATAAGCAACTCTATCAAAAAGAATTAAAAGATAAACAATCCTTGTCAGATAAACTAAACAAGTAAGTCAAAACATAGACTCATAGAAAATAAATTAAGCTCATTAATTTGCCTCAAAAGCACAATTTTTATTGAGACTGACTCATGAGATTAGTAGGAAGTGAAGACTAACTAGATAATATCATTTTAGAAAATGATGTTCATGAATGAATTTACCTTTAAAATATTGGTCCAGGAGAGTTTATGTCTCTCTCCTCTTTTTTTTTTTTTTTTTTGGTTTCCCCCTTAATATTCTTATATAGTTAAGCTGATTTATTAGTCTTTCAGCAAATTATTTTTGAAGCTTTATAGTTTAGACAGTGATACTGTTGTAAAATTGCTTGTCAGTATTTCCCTAAATAGAAATATTTATGAGTTTATCTATTTTTTGGAAGATTACATGTTAAACAACGAGTCAAGTGCTACCACTACTCTCTTGGCACATTCTGGCACACAATTAGCTTTCCTCGATTGTGATCTTTGGCATTGTCACTAGAGGGCGCCTTGAATCAAACTATCCTGTGTAGCGTTTCCACTCTGCATAAAGTCATACCTGTAAAATAGGAAATGATTAACTTAGGGATGAAGGGAAGTACAATTCACAAAGTAGTTAAACATAATACCTTGGTCAGCCTGAGGGTCAGGTGTGTTGAAGATGGAAAGGAATGGTCTCACCTCTGGTGCCTTGGTAACAATGTTAGCAGCTAATTTTCTTTGAAGTTCCTTTAGTTCTTTTTGATCACCAACTCAGCTGTCTCCTTCTCCCCTAGAAACTGCTGCTCCGAATTATTCTTCAGTGTCAAATGCTTAATTTTCCCTAGTTAATGGGTGAAATGCACAAGGGTGGTGAAAGCAAATGCTTGAAAATGTCTTTGAGGGATAGTTTTTTAATACAAGTAGTTCCAGCTTTTTTTTTTTTTTTAGTTTTAGGTTTTTTGTTTATTTTTTTGTGTGTGTGTATGTTTAACATATTAGCTGCCACACTGGAAAAAAATTTTTTCCCTTGGGGCCATGGTATTTTACTACGAATGTAGAATAAAAACTAAAAACAAAACAATCTTTTCTAATTTAATGAAAAATGTGTTATTTTTTATTGTTTTCTGTGTGTGAGTTATATGCAATGCAATCCACATTTCTAGAATTGAATTGTCAATGTTAATTGTAACAACAGGAACATCAATAAGTAAGATTTTCATGAACCAACTGCAGGGTTTTGCACTGGGGCCACCCATCACATAACATGTATGTTACAGCATGGCAACATGAATTGCCTGCACACCACATGGCTCCCAAGTAAAGAGACATGTGAGTTATATATGCTTCATGAGTCCCTGAGCTCATAATTAGCGTGAGTTAAATACAGCTCACATGGCAGTTAATGTGTTAAGCAGTACATTATGTTTTGATATAGCTATACATAATGAAATAGTTATTATAGTCAAGGAAATTAACATATTGATCATCTCACATAGTTACCCTTTAAATTCAAGTATTTCTAATGACATCCTCAAGAATCTTATAAGGAGAACCATTCCAGAAGGCAGCAGGTGTGACCTGTAAGCCATACATCATTGATTGACATTTCTCTCTTCTCCCTTTCTTTGAATTACTTGTTAGAAATCCCCCTGGGAATATATGTACTTCTTTAGAATGACTTTAAAACTATACTTGCCTACAATAGGCATGCTCTGACACATTTTTCAGTGATAAAACACTGTTACTGGGAAACTTTATTCACTCTTATGGTAACTTTTTTTAAAAAAATGCAAGTCATTTAGAAATCATTTAGGGAAAAGTGAAATATTATACTAACATTTTCTTTTTTTTTTTTTTTGCAATCTTCACAGAAGTCATGAGAAGCTAGCAGAGGTCAGGTCTGAACTGCTTGTGGAGCAAGAGAAGAACAGATCTTTACGCCACAGCCACGCTCTTACTTCGAGGCCAGTCCTAGAGTCACCTAGTTTTGGAAGTCTTAACGATACTTCAGTTCTCAACAGAACATTTACTCCAAGGGAAAACTTGGTGATCGCCACCTCTAGCCCACGGACTTCACGTAACAGCCTGCAGAACTACTTTACCATGGTTAGTTCATTATCCTTTTTCTTTGGGTTTAACTATGTACTTTTTCTATTTCTCCAATGTTCATTCAGTTTAGAAACTCATTCTCTAAATGTGGTTATACAGACACATCAAACTAGAGCAGTATCCCTAGGATGCTAACCTTTTACGTGATGGAACATTGTGTCTCAACAGAATATTAAGTTGCATTTCTTCCCAAATAAAAACAGACCTGTTTGCATCACCAAGGCAGTGCCTCTCTGCTCTGAATTTTAACTCTAATCAAACTATTATAATAGTTATGCTACTTGTTCATAGAGCAAGGACAAAGAAATGTATTTATTGTATTAGTTATATGCTCTCTATAATGCCTCCTGTCTCCACTTCATTTCATCTGCTTAGTCAGATGCCCAATAGTCATTTTATCCTGTGAATGATTCAGGTAATCTCACAACTTCTTCCAGTTCTTTTTCTTTCATTCACTCATTTCACAAGGTCATTAAGTATATGTGTGGCTCTGCACTTAATCCTTCAGCTCCTCAGTCAACAACCTGTTCCCCAGTTCTTTTCTCTGTGACAAAATTCATGTATTTAATATTTAAAAACTGAAAAATATTAGTTTCCTTCATATATTAGCTTATTTACAATTTGATACTGATTTGCAGTGGTTTAGTGGACAAACTTATTTGATTATATTACATTTGAGTGCACATTTATTTTATAATGTTTTCTCCTTAAAGCAGAGAATGATATCAAATTTTAATTTAAAAACATCAAGTTACTGAAAGTATAATAACTATGGAAATGTTTATTTGTGTATGTGTGGTATGTGTGTATATTTATCAAATTGGTCTCAAAAAGAGAATGCAGCATTATTTTCCTACCTGTAATCTCAAATATAATTTAACAGTAGCCTGTCAATAAGTTATTATTGAATGAGTGAACTTTATATTTGTATTTTGGGGGCTTTGCTATTTTTATTGATTTCACTGTATTTCCTTTTCTAAAATCTTCCTTTCAACTCTTCCCTTCTTTAAAGTGGGGGCTTGTTTGGAAGAATGTGCAGTAAGATTATAAAATCAAGGAAGATGAAAACATTTCTTTAAGTGTTGTATGGTCATCTTTGGGATGTGGTGGGGTAGGCAGCAAATGACACTCCCCCTTCTGAGTTCAGAACACGGGAGTCAGACAGCTGGACATCAGCATCCTAGCTTTGTCACTGACTCATGACAACTAGTGGGAGAATGTGGCCCAGATGTGCAGCCACAGGGGGCTTCTGAATACTTCATCCCAGATCAGGCACTACCCACACAGTTGTAAGAGGAGGGAACAGATGCTGGACACCTGTCCTGGGAGCAGGCTGCTTACTGCAGAGATGACGGCAGACCTGAGTTCATGTCACTGTGCATCTTTTCAAAGAAGAGAGGCAGAGCCAAGCACACACACTCGATGTGCCTCACCCAAATTCATCCATTAGGGGAATCTTTCCTCCTCTCAAGAGGAAGGTAGAGAGAGTGGAAGTGCTCGCTTGGAAACTTGAGGCCATAGAAATGAAGGTTCTATCATTTTATCATGCCTGGATTTAAATTATAATTCTAATTAAACCCATGTGTTTATGTGTACCAACTAATGATGAGAAGTTAGAAGTATGCTAAATAGTAGAGGGAAATTTGTTTTGTGTTTTCAACTTTGCTATATATATCCCACAGCATGGATAATTTATTTGTTGATTGTTTTTGGTTAACCAAGTTTTATCTGGAGAAAATGAATAGTTTTTTTAAGGAAGAATTTTCTCAATTTCAGCTGCCTTGGTTCAAGTAAAGACTTTCTCCTACAAGTTGCCTGTTCTGTGGTTTATAAAATTTTTTCTTTATAAATTGAATATAACAGAAGTTCTGATAATTTATGTTCTTTAATTTCTATTCATAACTTTAGAACTTAGAGTTTAAAGAGCTATTCTTTTATGTCTCATGCCTAAACAGTATTGAGCTACATGACAGTTTCACATATACATTTTCTCTGAGTTATATATTAAAATGTGTGTGTGCGTGTGTGTGTGTGTGTGTGTGAGAGAGAGAAAGAGAGAGAGAATATGAAGGAAACAGCTGACACACAACCCCAGGCTCAGTAAGAAAACCTAAAGCCCATTCCTGGCCTGTGGCTAATTGGCTCTGTGAGCTCAGGCAAACTACAGTCTCTCTGAGCCTGTGTTGCTTTTATGTAAATTTAGGGACTTTGACCAAATCAGTGATTTTCATACCGTTTTTTTTTTTGAAGAATAGAGCTTTTATTTAAAAAAATTGCAAGAAATAATATATAATAATAAGTAGAGCTGTCTGGGAGCTCTGAAGCTATGACATCCTTATTCCTTATTCCTGCAGTGTCCTCCGTGGAACCTTAGATTTCCGTGGGACATAGTTTGAAAACTACCAGTTTGGAGAGAATCCTTTTGATTAGCTAAAATTCGGTGGTACATTGTTCTCCTGTGTATAACTTTCTCACCTTCTTATATGTTTTAGAAAATAGAAAAGTGTAAATGAAGTTGCAGATGTGCTCTCCTTATTAATGTTGGACTTCAAGCTACCTCCACCCTCAGAAGTAATCCCCAGCTAGAAATAAACAGGCCACAGAGAAAAGAAGAGTATTTTTATTAAAAATAGTTTATGTATTTTACTCCATAAGGAGCTAATATAGCTTTTGATTTAACATTATGCATAAAAAGAAGTATAGCAGTTTATTTATTTTTTTAATTTCCTCTGGCAAGGTTCAGTTTCTCCTAAGCTGTTGCTCAGTCTACCCACTTCAAAAGCCACTGAGAAAAACAGCCATTGACAACACCCTGCCCAACTGACTAGGACGGTGATTAATGTCAACAAGACATTTTAATCTTATTTTTTTCCTTCCATAATCTATATCAGGCACTGTATTAAGTTACTCAACGGGGGACAACAATTTTGAATTTCTGTTAAGGGAACTATGAGGAAAATGTGTGATTTAGTGGGAAAGTAAGAATAAAATGAAAGGGACTTTGTGGAAACAACCCAAATGCCCATCAATTCATGAGTGGATTATTAAAATTTGGTATATGTATACAATGGAATATTACTCAATCATAAGAAATGACAGTGATCTAGAACTTCTTATATTTTCCTGGATTGAACTTAAGCACATTATCCGAAGTGAGATATCACAAGATCGGAAGAATTGGCTCCACTTGTACTCGCCATCAAATTGGTACTAACTGATGAACACTAGGGTGCTCACATGGCAGTAATACTCTTCAGGGATTAGGGGGAGGAGGGGTAAACTCACAACTAAAGGACACGGGGAGCATTGTAGAGGGGAAGGGCATGCCTCTAACCCTCGCTTGGGTGAGGCAAAGACATAAAATATATCCATAATGTTTGTACCCTCATAATGCCCTGAAATAAAAAAAAAAAGTCTCTTAATATTGGCTAGTTTTCACGTGTGAATATGGACAAAACCACCCCAGCCTCCCACAAGCCAGGACTAAACCTCCTTGAGCGCCGTTGACACTCCAGGCCCTTTTCCTCAGCTCCCTCCCTGTGGCCTGGGTCTGTCCCTTTTCCCTGGAGCTTTCATCTGTGACCTGGTGTCTCTTTCCCAAAGGCAGTTGCCCTCAGCGATCATTTATGTGGTTGGTAAAGTATTCAAGGGTCAGGGAAAGGCTGAAAGAGAACTTATGTAGGGGGAGGCCACTTCCAGGTTGGAATAGAGGCAATGATTTCTCCCAAGTGCTCTTTAAGACTTAGGAGAAAATAATGCCTTTGCTTATATTTATTATAAAAAAAATATTCTCCATTTAGAGACTTAAAAAAGTAAGCAATTTTCATTTTTATCTAAGTAAAATTTATGTATTTTGGAAGTATTTGTGACTGGAGTATAAAGAAATAATAAAATTGATTACAGATGTGAAGTAAGTATTTCAGAGAAGAGCTTTTGGGGGAAAATATAATAACATTACATTAGTAGTTCCTTATTTCAAGTCATGTAAAAATGTACATTTTACATAGTGTTTATTAATGGTAATATAAAAGTCTTTCAATAATGGCTTCTCCCTTTATCTGGTGTTGAGTTATTACTTTTATAAGACCTGCCTAGTAATTCTATTTTCACCTTATTCATTTTGTAAAAATTATCTATAATATTATAGTAACAGAAATGTTATTGTAAACAATCCCTCAAAATACTGGTAAACCTGTTAGTCAGAAAAATTTGTCTTCACACCTAAAATTTGTAAAGGCATTGGATAGCTTATTATTATTATCACCACAAAGTATTTGTTAAGTTCACTATACTATTTCAGACCTGGTTCTGGGCATTTAGGGAGAGAATACCTTTTATACGAAGGTTTAAATAAGAGCACTCTAGATGGGAAGACTTGGAATATGTTTGGTAATATTCTCACACATTTCATAATTAAGTAGATAACTGTAACCAGTCAGATGTTTTAAAATTGGTAGTAATTTCTGAAAAGAAATCAAAGTTGCAATTAAAGAACTATATATATTTTCCTCGTGTCTAATTCCTAGAAGGTCATGGATCAAAGAAGCTACATTTAAAAAATTGGTGGTAACCTGTATTTATCCTTTTGTAAGCAAATTTTCTGAAATCCTTGTGTCCATATGAATAAATAAATGTTAATTATAATATAGATAGCATAATATTTTTACTTAATCTTTTGCCAGTAGGATTTTCATGTGACATTATGACAGTACCACTTTCTTCATGTATGTATTATATTTAAGATTCTGTGCTGAAAAATTAATAGCATAGAACACACTTTACGATCTTAATTTTCTGAAAGTGAAGAGGGGAACATTCATTTTAAGGAAAAATCTGTCAAAGTAAAAAAACTGATGAAACCTTTATAAAGGGCAGAGTTTTGCTAAGAATTAAGTGATGCATTCTTTGCAAAATGTGACTTGAATTGTTTAACGTTTATACTAATAAGGGAAAACATCACCCTTCCAAAATGATGTATATTCAATAGATCACTATTATTTGTATTTTTTATCAGATTAATCTAAACAGCCATTATAATAGACATCTTCTGTTATCTAAACATAAAGTAGATAGGAATTTTATTTACTTTTGTGATTATGTCTCTATTTAGGCAATCAACAAATCAGGTCTAGTCTCTAAAAGTATTATAAGCCACATTTTGTAAGTGATATATCATTCCCATAATAATGTCTCGTTTAACTTAAAAATTATAAATAATACTTCACTTATTTCAGATGCAGCTGGAGTTTGAAAAAAATATAACTAGAGAACTAGAGGAAGGTATGTTGCCAAAATTTATGAATGAAATTCAGATTAATTAATTGATTTCTGAAATAAATTGTCAATGCAAATGACATCCCTTTCCATTGTTTGGTTAATAGATACTGCATTAAATATATTTTACTTTTACACATCTAATGAAAGGTGTAAAAACATAAAAATTCATAACTAGGAGTATATTTATGCCTCATTAATTCATCATGTTCCACAGCTTTAAAAATATTTCACAAAGTCTGTACATCTCTTTTTTCTGGCTCTACACTTTCTTCACTTCTGCCATCCCTATGGAACTACCAGCCAGTGGCTGAAACAATTCCCAGAAAACAAAGCCATCATCAGCTTCTCAGGTTTACGGTAATGATTTAAAGCCAGAAGACCCCAGATTCATCTAGTAACACTTAGTGAAGCAATTACAGTTGATAAGCAGTCACTTGACAGGTGACATTTTAAATCTCTAGTCATTTACTTTGTCACTGGTTTACTTTTGCCCCCAGTAATGGTTCCAAATTCCTTAGCATGGAAGAAACATCCAAATCACCCTCTAGCATCTGGCCAAACTGGACCACTGAGAATTCCCCAGTGTCCTTCCTCACCTCCAGCTCTTTGCACCTGCTTCTCCATCTGCCATACTTGTTCCTTGTCCTCTAGGTGTCAACCTACATACTGCCTCCACCAAAAAGGCTCCAATATTGACACAAAACCGGGATAGATGACCCTTGTGTGTGTTTTAGTAGTGCCTTCTTTTATACCTGTCACGTTGTCTAGGATTCTGTGGAGTTTTTTTTAGATTTATAGTGTATGGTTACTGGGGGTGGACTGTATCATCTTCATCTTGTAATTCCAATGCTTGTCATAGCACCTTGTCATAGTTGCTGAATAAATGAATGAACAGTGAGAAAACCAGAAACTCTGGTACTTACATAATGATAATTCAATGTGTAACTATGGGTAAATTATATTTCACAGTAATTTTGTATTAGAGTTATACACACCTGTTTTTCATTGTTAGCACTGATTAACTTTTCTACTTTTTTACTGACTTAGTTAACTATGGAATCTTTTAGATAAACAATATAATTCTTTTTTTTCTTTCCAGAAAAAAAAAATGTTCCTACTAAATTGGAATCTAGATCCTATATAGCTTCTCCTATAGAATCTACTGATGATCTACTTAGGAAAGCATCACAAGAATATGTACAGATTTTAAAAGAAAAGTATATGACCTGAAAAATAATAAACTTTATTTTCTGGGCTGTTTACATGGCATTTTAATTATTTGCCATTAAATATCTGACTTGGAAATCTTTATTAAAGGATAAAATTTTTATCATATATGTCTGATGAAAATTTATAATAGTGTTTTAAGTGATATTTCTTGGCCTTTTTAACTAACTTTTAAGCAGATTTTGCAAATGAAAACCACTATTATTGAGTTTTACATATTTAAATGCCCAAATGTCAGTTGTTTAATCAGCCAAACAACCAAATTGTCACTAGTGCTTTAGTGGTGTTAATTTAGGGCAGATTTGTATTTTATAATTTTTATCTCTATATATAGTGATAGATTTGGAATAGGACAGACATAATTTTGGTATACTGGTACTGTAGTCATTGTCAATGTTTAGATTACAGTAGTTACAGTGCCATCAAATTTGCATAATTTTAATTTTTTTATTTGTATAAACTTAAGGAGTACAAGTGCAATTTTGTTACATGGATATATTGCATAGTGGTGAAGTTTGTGCTTTTAGTATATCCATCACCCAAATCATGTACATTGTACCCAGTAAGTAATTTCTCATCATCCACACTCCTCCCACCATCCCACCCTTTCATGTCTCTAGTGTTTATCATTCCACACTCTATGTCCGTGTATATACAATACTCAGCTGCCACGTGTAAGTGAGAACATGCAGTATTTGACTGTTTTTGAGTTGTTTGACTTAAGATAATGGCCTTTAGTTCCATCAGCACTGATACAAAAGACATGATTTCTTTCTTTTTTATGGATGAATAGTATTTCATTGTGTATATATACCACAGTTTCTTTATTCATTCATTTATTGATGGGCACTTAGGTTTATTCCATGTATTTGCTATTTTGAATAATGCTGAGCTAAACATATGAGTGCAGTTATCTTTTTGATACAATGATTTATTTTCCTTTGGGTGGATACCCAGTAGTGGGAGTACTGGATTAAATGGTAGTTCCATTTTTAGTTCTTTGAGAAATCTCCATACTGTTTTCCATAGAGGTTGTACTAATTTACATTGCCATCAACAGTGTGTAAGTGTTTTCTTTTCTCTGCATGTTATTTTTTGACTTTTTAATAATAGCCATTCTGACTGGTATAAGATATAAAAAACATTTTAAATTCTAAATTCAACTTTTTGACTTCAAATTAGCTTTCTGGATATTAGGGCCACTGGAAGTCCAAGAGAGACATATTAGGCTTATTTGACATGTTAAAATCATACAGCATGCATTATTCATAGGGAGGAGTAAACGCATATGTGGGTGGTTTTGGTTGGGGTTGTTTTTGCAATCAGAAAGCCTCTGTCAGTCAGCTGAACAGTAGATGCTTATCTTTATGTCTAGTTGATTTCAGGGGACAGACAGTTCAGATGACCAATCAGAGGACAAAAAGAAAAACCAACCAACCAAACAAGAAACAACAACAAAAAAACTCAGGAGTTGGTGTTTCTGTACCTGATCTTGTCATTAGGTTCAGGCAAAAGAGGAAAAGGTCTATGTTTGACCTGGCCACAGGTAAACAAGGGGGACATCTATGAGTTTAATGGGAGCCATGAGGAAAAGAATCTTACTTAAGTTTCTTAATATATAATGGAGTCTTATTTAAGTCAAGGTGATTCATTGCTGTAAGTTGTTTCCAGAAGCAAAAAAGGGTGGAGGGATTTATAACCACCCCGTTTGCCGGGAATAAGGGCCCAAGTAAACCTCAACATTGTCATGGAGAAGGTGAGGGGAGGCTTTTTCCCAGGACAAGATTAATTTATTTACTCAGATCCTAGATTTCAACTACTATAACAAATATATATATAGTGACAAGACTTAGGGCTATGAAAGATCTCAAAGGCAATAGAAAATAGAATGAAATAAACCCAGGACACCTTTTTCTGGAAATGGTAAGCTAGAAATGAGGTATTGGGTAAAAGGAATTGCTATGAATAGGCCTTTAGTAATGTGTTGGTAAGATGTGGGGTGAAGTGACATGTTCTGTAGTCCTATGATTTGCTCTCAGTCTTTTATTGAGCTTTGGCCTCAGTGCTGTGACCTTCACACTTGCTTCTCAGTTTTCTCTGTTTAGGTGGGACAGGATGGCGAGAGTCAGCTGAAGCGGGTATTTGCCTTCTCCCATGTGGAAGGCTGGAAGGTTCTGGAGGTGGACATTCCCCTTCTTTGATGTGGAAGGCTAGAGCTGGCTAGATTTGGGTCTTTCCCTTCCCCCAGGTCAGCTAGGCTCTGAAAAAGAACCTAGAAACTTAGGCTCAGTTTAAATAGTTTCTCCTGAGGACAGACCTTGTTAAGAGGAAGAAAATGCTCTAGTCTATTTCAAAATGCTTCCTTTTCCTCTCTCTTTGCCGGATTTTTCTCCAATATTCACTGAGAACCAGGTCAACCTTCAAGAGTTAAAACTCACAAAAGTGTGGGTTTCTCCCCCCATGGTTGCTCCCTCTGGAGTTTTTAACTCTCAGATTTGTCAGCCTCCAGCACACGTGAGGCCTTTAGAGACATGCCACTAGAAATCTTCCAGACTGAAGTTCCCGATACTATCCTGACTTTTTGCTTCACTAAGGAAGCACCCAGGAAACAGTATTGTTAAAAATACAATAGTACTGGCCAGGAGGGGAAAGAGGGCATGGGAAGGTATTGTTCAACAAGTACAGTTTCAGTTTGGAAGACAACGAAGTTCTTGACGTGGACAGTAGTGATGGTTGCACAGCAGTGTAGATGTACTTAATGTCACAGAACTGTATTCTTAAAAATGGTCAAAATGTGATATATATGTCATATATTTTACCATCAAAAATATTCACCTGAAAAAAATAAAAGCACTCTTGGATAAGTATGTTGTGTGGCCAGGCTTAGGAATTACAGATGTAGAACATGAGTATAAACTGGTTCTGGGCAATTAAAAAAAATAGTCTCTGACTTTGGTTCAGACCCTAAGCCTACTGTTACCTTCAGTCACTTCCAAACAGCTGAGGGTCAGACTCTTAAGTAAAGATCACTGTGCCTTAAGCTATGAATTACCCAGAATCCATTATTTTTCCTTATTTCAAAGTGAGCATTTTGGAGAACAAAATAAAATCTCAATTTAATTTCAGGTGCTGGCCAAACATTGCTAAATGCGACCTGTTAATTCTGTTTATATTTACATTTATATTTATTTTCTAAGTGCTATTTGATATTTGATGAATATTGACCCCCCAAACATTAATTAATTTAATTCCAGAAGCTTTCTGTGAAAAGGCCACTTTAATATGAGTTTTTTCTATATGAATAGGGTTGCCAGATTTAGCAAGATAAAGGTCTCCCATTGAATTTGAATTTCATATAAATTACAAATTCTTTTTAGTCTATTCCTTATGTAATATTTGGGAACCCTGTGTGTGAAGAATCTTCCTGCAGGGTATTCTTCTAAATTAAGCAACCTGATGCTATTATTTTATGTACCTTCTCTCATGTGGTTATTTGATTTGTTATGATTCAGAGGCTAATTTATCACTCTATAATTTGGGTCAAATGCATAATTAAAGTAGTTTTATTTTCTATCCAATATTATAGAAATAAGCTGTTACTTGGCTCCTGTTTCTCCTTTGCTTGTATGTTGTATGTTTCCATGCTAGTTGTATATTGTTAAAAATGAGTATGATGCTTAGATTACTGCTTTAGTTTAAATGTTGTTTCCTGGTTATAACTTATTGCTTTCCATAAAATGCTCTACAATTTTCTATATCTTTAACTGTATCTCTGGAGGTTGTTTTAGATGAGGAGAAATTGCTCAGGACTGAGATG